TTTTCCCGCTCCTCCCTGCCGCTGTCCTACCTCACCCTCTTCCCTGCCCCCCCCCGCTCCCTGCCCTGCCCCGCCTCTTCCCCGCTGCCATTCGCTCCGGCCCTTCCACGCCCCTCTCGCCACCCGACCTTACCTCGCCTTTGGCCCCGCCCGCCCCGCTGCCCTGCTTCCCCCCGCCCTCACCGCATCGCATCGGAGAGCCAATTAAAATGTAATACCCTCCAGGCCAAGAGCGTGCGCGGTCCAAGGGCCCTCGATATGATAAGATTCTGTTCTGCCTTTGCTAGATTCTGTTAGCTACTAGATACCTCACCAAATTCTTTGACATTCCTGTTTAGTCGTGTAACCTCCAGCAAATTACTTTAAGCACGTATATTACGAGAAAAACTAAAGATGTCCTACCCTGAAAAGGTTTTAAAATTTCGAAAGTTACATTTTTCTTTTTACTCTCGCGTAGATTCTTAGAATTGACTTTTCATTGTTAGGAAACACGGTTTCTCTCTTTATCGAACGCAGCTTTGGATTATTCAATTTTTGTTGCTGTATTTTCTTGAAAATGATTAGCTAATAGCACTTTATGCTCTAGTATTAGTAATGAGAGTTACAATTGATAGCTGAAATGCGTCAGTGTGGGCAAAAATTGCTGCATTATGACGTTACGTAACCGTGACTAATATGAGAAAGTAAATGCTGTTGTAGCTATTACTTTTTATCTTCACACTATTTTCAATCATTCCTATTCCAATGTCAACGTAACGTTTCTGTCACCATATCTCTATTTGCGTTTACGCTCTTTTCAGTCTGTACCATTCAAACTCTATCTTGATTTTCATACCACTGAAGAACTTCTATCTTGGATTTCTCCTGTCCCCAAATTTTTCCTCGAAATACATTTCCTAAGGAAAGTACGTACGCTTAAATATCCCAAAAGTATTTATTTCCTCTGTTACATTGCATTATTTCTCTCTTTTTTAGCACCATTATATCAGGTGCACTGTCTTTTTTTCACTACCTTTTCATTCATGTGCACGAGTATGGCAAGCTCCGTATTGTCTACCATGACATATCTTAAGCGAATAAAGAAAAGTAAACGCTACAATTACGCCACATGTTTGCCTCCAAAATCGCGAATTTTTAAAGCCAAATTTAAACATCAGATGTCTTAACATTTAATTCAACTGTGCACAGAAAGCTAATTCGTGAAGCCAAGCTACTGTTTTGCGACGTGACTACTGTCATTCTGCCAAGAAAATCAGGAAATGCTGAAAAATGTCGGCCCGGCATAAAAGCGCCTCTCCCCCCGAGTGCTTAAGAGGATAATCATTCTTTCTCCTGAGAACTCTCTTCCCTGCCAGCGCAGGAGCTAAAGGGTCGCTAAATTAAAGCGCGGGGCTCTCTGCTGGCGACGCCCACTTCGCCAGAGGTGCACTTCCGGCGCAATCTCGTCACCGGAAGCTACCTTCGTGCGGCTCCAGGGGCCGCGCACAGCGCCTTCGTTGGGATTTTCCGCTCTCCCTTGCCAGGATGACAATGTTTTTCAAAACACCGATACATCGATATTACGATATATTCACGGACCGAGTGCAGCCAGTGTGCAGCGGTATTAAATACACAGATGTTTCAATGTATCGGTTTTATCCGATGTTCCTGCAAAAGGTAAAACAGAAATGATTTAAATCTATGACGTCACCCTACCACTCAATTCTTTACCCCTAATCCTTGCTCTTGAAAAACGCCAGTGCATTGTCAGCATTAGTTTGCAGACCAAAAACATTAGGGGGAGGTTCGGGCGAGAAGTCATCTGAGTTAATTCCATCAATTAACATTGCGACCGAGTCTCGACATCTCGGCATCCTCATCTCGACCAACGTTTTTTTGTTGTTTTTTTAAATTTTTTTCTGTTCTTACGCTCAGTGTTTTCTCATTCTGGTTTTCCGTGCCCTTCTTTTCCTCTTCACCAAGTATCTATGTATTTCATCATTTTCTTTTTGATAGCAAACATATTGGTGAGAGCGTCAATCGCTTATTCTCATTGGCTAGAAAACTCCGCCTTCCCCGTTTTCTCTAACAATCTAGCTTATATAATGGGATATTCGAATCATCTTTATCATGAAGTATTGTCTTAACTGTACCAGTCGTTTTCAATTTAATTGATCTATTCTCAAATTATTATTTTATACAGCATCAACATGTTTATTGTTTTACGTATTTCCATCAGTTATTGCCCAATCTTCGGTTCACACATTTTCCTTTTGTCCATCAGTAACAAGCTTCAAAATTTAAATCCACGTTATTTTGAACCGTTAGTTTGCTTTTATATGCAAATGTTTGTACTCTAAACCGCACTATTCACTTTGCTTGAATATGTGTATACATGCTCTCTTGCAATATATGTCAACATCACACACGCGTGTGTTGCAGTTTAAGATTTTGTTTTTTAATGAGTTAAAATGAAAATGCTTCTCTTTGAATACTTCTCATCGACATTCATCTCATTTGAGCACTTCGGCGACGTCTCACCCGTTTCTTTCCCGGGTGCGGTTCTTCCATCTAAGGCGCCGTTTTTCCTTCTCCTACCAATCCTCCCCGCTGTCTTCACCATGTTAATCGCGATCGCGCCGAATTCGTTAGCGCCGCTACCGCCGCCACGCACCATTCCCCCTCGCCCGCCCAACTCCCCCGCTCCTCTCGCCGCAGCCCGCTCCTCCCCGCCCCGCCGGCTCACTCCACGCTCCAACCGCATCCGTCTCCCCGCCCCCTCCGCCGCGGGGGACGCCCAACGTCTCCCCGCCCGCCCGCTCCACTTCCCGTGCACAGGCACCAACGAGGCCCTCCCCCGCCCCCTCCGCTTGCTCCCCGCCCGCCCATTTCCCCCATTCGCCCACACCATCCTCCCGCCCGCCCCCTGCTCCCCGGCCCGCCCACTCCTCCCCGCCCCACCCTCAACCTCCCCGCCCCGCACGCTCCGTCTCGCAGGTCCTTATCTCCTCCACCCCGTTCTACACTCCCCAATCCTGCCCCTCCTCTCCCCGCCCGCCCATCGTCTCCATCCGGCCCGGCAGCGACACCAGGCGACGGCGGCCTAACGACCTCGTTTGTCTCCCGGGCGCCAGCGCAGCGCCCGCCGCTCATCGCGCCGCTTAATACAATGAGCGCGAGCGGCGGCGGCCCGGGGCGTCCGCGCAACAGGAGGCGCTGGCGAAGATGGCGGCGCAGCGGTGCCGCACACGCGCCCGATCCACAGCCCTCTGGCTGAAGCGAGTGAAAAAAAAACATTCATTGCGTGTGTACTACAATTTTAATTCACAACTGGTCCCCCCAAAGAAATTCATTGTAAAACGTCAATAAAATACAGACGCTTGTTCAACTTTTTTTACAAATCATTATATTAAAACAAAAAAGTGGTGGGAGACATCTGGTTAGGGAAAATCCCGTAAGTCGATGTAGGTGGGCGCCGGATCTCGCCATCCAGGGGAGATGATTACCGCCACCTCCCATGAGAAAACATGCACCACACTTACGGGGCCAATGACCTTAGTCGTTGACGCGCCCGGAATCACTAATCAATCAATCGATCAAAATTGTGATATTTGGTATGATATTGTATATTTGTGTAATTTGAGTATCTATCTCAGTACTACTGGACCTCTATAGAATGTTCGAGAAAATTGATTGTATCCGACATCTGGAGTCCGTCTCTGATATTGAAAGCGGCAAGAACCGCTGCTGAATATTGCGGGAGACAACCGAAGCCCGACGTTGGGCACAAAACCAGACACGGTGATTAATGGGAGGGCACGCGGACGTGTCACTACGAAACCAAATCTTGGTGGGCTTCACTGCCGCGCTCTACCGCCCAATCCTTCCACGTCATCCTTCCGTGTAAGTAAGCCCTACGGCTCACAGAAGAATCATCCATGAACTGATAGTAGTTTGCACGAAAATAATTCGATATGAAAGGTATTTTTCATAAATAAGAAATTATAATATTTGCGTGCACCTCTTATGAATGAAAATGTCAGGGTAAAAATGTCGGCAAATTATTTATTTCACTTATATTATTATAACAAACTACTTTGCGACTGATTGAACGATACTGATCTATTTTGATAAATGCGAATTCATTGCGATTCTCTGTTTCCATTCTGTAATCAACTGTGAAAGTGACAAACCTTAGAAGCTGATTGTAAATCTTCGTGTTTCATTTTGCATGTCTCTACTGAAATTTGAGAAAAAGATGATAAAATTGTGGAATTGCGCGGCTTATTCACTAGTAGACACGATTAACACGTGAAGACATCGAAACTTCAGTTTTGTAATTCAGCTTGTTGACCAAACCCAATAAGTACTCCACTAAATGAGGGTATATTCATAGAGATGGGTTACTCACGCTCTGATTTCCTTTTCTGTGTACAATTGTAATTAGATTTATTTGAATTTACATAAAATAATAAAACTAAAATGTGAAAACCCCATTATTTTACTCTGTTCAATAAACACTCAATAGACAAACCTAGATTTCGTAAACGATGTTGCTCGATATTTGAGGTGATCGTCAACACTACTGCCTTGGTTAATTGAGGTCTTTTTGTTCCATTTTTTGGACAAATCTTACATACCAATAAACCTACTTCCACAAAATACACTCCTCAGTAATTACATTTGCCTAGCATAGGAAAAGTCTCCAAGCAATTTTCAATATCTTCTACCCTCTGAAGTGGTGTGATAAAATGCTACTCCCAAGTGAACTCTTCATAACAATTCTTGAAATCAGAAATTAAATTTACTCGTGACATTATTGGACACTTACTTTACCCGCATCTATAAATTTCAAGCTGGTCCAAAAACCAAAGTTGTCCTATGTAATGTGGTTTCAAAGAGGTCTGCAATATATTTATTTCTGTATTGATATTATGAGATTTATCTATTTTATGTATATTGGGATACATGTAATTACATTTTTATGCCTATCTGAGTGTAGATATATTTTTGTGTGGCAGGTTTCGCGCACAAAGACTGTGACGAGAATGGGTCGTGGTTTCGGCATTGGAGCTCCAACAAACCATGGTCTAATTACACCAACTGCGTGGACTTGGACTCGTTAATGGTAAGAAACTCTTAACTTAAGTTTTAAAAGATTCTTCAAATTTTCTAAGCCCAATCTCCATTAATCTATGTCCTTGCGATGTTGCTTAAGCGTCGAGGTATCTCGACCATACCGAATTATTCGTGTTGCTGTCTTACTTTTCCCTTTATCTCCTAAGTTATTTATGTTGCCCACCAATTTTGAAATTCTCCCCTTTTCATAATATTTTCTTGTTTTTGGAAAATTATCAATGATATAACAATACCATTCTGATACCCACAGATTGCGGAGAACAACAATCAGCCCCAGAGTAAATTGCAAAATAATTGAAGGGAAAATGTAGGTTTACGAACTACACATATTTCAAACGTAGATGTATTTATTAATACAGCATATATTTTCAGCAAGTTAGTGTTAGAATATTTTCAGTTTTTGAGTAACAAGGACGAGGCACAGAAGTCGGCCACAGCAAATATCTCCGAAACTGTTTGAGGTTCAGGGATATGGTTTGTGCCAAGTTTATGTGGATGATAGAAGAAATATCATACCTCGTTTTCTTGTTTGTAACATTTTCAAGTTAGTAAATATGGACACAACATTAATATATTAAATAAAATAATTTCTCCACTAGCAAGTTTGCGAAGAGAGGAAAAAATAATATAAACATTGTTAATATTCTCAAAAAAAATTATAGAAATAAGGCGCTTAATATTTCCTTAGACCAGAGCCCTTACAGAGTCCTTGCGGCCCGACCGGCAAATTCAGAATACGTCGGCGATAAATATATCGTGTTGATAAACGACACGCAAAGTAAAAACGATAATAGAAACAAAAATAACAAGGTATTATTATGTGGATTAACAATAAAGCACGTAACATGATCACCTATAAAGCCCAAAGGCCTCTGTCCAGATACATTCTTTCAATAAAAATTGGCGAGTTCTCATAAATATTTCAAAGGAATTAAATTGCTTTTAGAGATGTGACTCTTAATGAGCACTATAATTTAAAGTCGTAGACGTTAACAAAAAAAATTAAATAATTAGGACATTTGTAAAAAAGAAAACTGGGAAACGCACTACCCTTCCCGCGGGGGGCGTTGGTGCCCTGATACCCAAGTCGGCTATTTAGAAATTATGCATTACATTATTTATTGTATTAATATTCCTGAAACACGATATTTTAAAAAGGTACTTCTATCGATACTTTTTCAGCTAACCCTCTGTGTCTGGAGGTAGATGATAGAGAGCAGTCAGTAACCTGCGTCTGACCAGCAGCCACAGTTATATCCCTTCCACCCCCCCAATCTAGACAAAAGAGTCATTCGACGCGTCACGAACTGCTGGTGTGGAACCGATAATTGTTTCTGAGGATCCATTCGGAGAATACAAAGAAATGTCTCTAAAAAGTTTTTTTTACGCAACTAAAATGAGTGTTGGTTGCCTTACCGCACCTACAGAGCTGATCGATTTCTATCGACAAGACAAATCCATTTGCACCATTTTTAGCCTGTTCCCTCTAAATTGTTATGGAAGAATTCTAGAAAAAGCTGTTTCTATGGTTTCAATGCACGCACGAGAATAGCGGTGAAATGTGACTGTATGTGTGTGTGTATATATATATATATATATATGTGTGTGTGTGTGTGTGTGTGTGTGTGTGTGTATGTATGTTACTATAATCTCGTATCAGAATTTAGATGAATCGTTGTCCCTTGATTCATCATATTGACAATTATGAAGCCTAATTATGTAGTTAATTATCAAAAAACTGGTTGGATGCGGTTAAGTTAAGTATTTTGGGGGAGTTTGAAAGCCATCTACAGAGATTTCTACCCGGAGCTTTCCAGAATATTCTAGAAGAATCCTAGAAAAGATCATTTGGGGGGCGTTATATGTCACATACAGTGTTGAAATGCTGTGGTTTACTATGCTACCTTTCCGGCTTAACATAATTTCTTAGGACGCAAGACATTACATTGACGATAGTTTACTTACAAATGTAATGAATAAAATACGATTTGTTTTAAAAAGTACTTCAATCGATGCTTTTTCATCCAACCCTCTGTTTCTGGGGATAGATAATCCAGACAACTTGATTGTTTTTAAAATTTATTTTTAATGTGAACTTACACACAAATAAACAATGATACCTGAAAGTACCCCCCGCTGGATACGCTAGGCTAAGAGAGTTACAAACAATAAATTATCTTATTGTCATCATGTAGTGGCACATTTCAAATCTCTATTAAAGTACACTGACAGATACGTCACGCCTTCCCTTCACTATTTGTGAGCGTCGCGGCGTACAAGCCACACAGCGGAAGCCCAACCAAAATACGGTCAGTCGCGCGAACTCGTATGCTTGGCTAATCGAGTAGCCGACCAATCAGACTGGGCGCGGAAGCGACAGCAGTGGACCAGGTAAATTCATTTCCATACAAATAGTCCCTCCTAATTGCAGGCGCGCCAAATCCCAGCGTTTTCTTATGGAAATTGGGCGTAAGCGACGAAGCCCGTTGTCCCGCCCCCCCGGCGCCTGTCGCGCCCGCGCCCGCGCCGCCGCCGGCCCTCGGCAATTAAAAGTTGGCGCAGAGCAAATGCGGAGTCCGCGCGCCCCGAAGGAAGCCCTTGAACCTCCGGCTTCATCAAATTTGGGGAATTTATACGCGGGGAGGAGCGCGTGGGAGAAAGGGGCGGAGTGCGAACGCAGGGAGAGATTTTTTCTGTGCGGGTGCGTCAGGAGAATCTAGACTGATAGTATATTTTGATTAAAATCTCCACAACACTAGAATCTACGATGCATTTAATTTCCGTCATCAGAATTGTCAGTTCAGTATCATGTCAATCTAAACCTGATACCTTTCTTTCATAAACATTTACTGAAAAAGTTTGGCAAGAGAGTATATTTAAACAAAATATTTATATTCTTTCTTCAGACTGCTGCTGCTGCGTTCCTACTTGTTCGTGATTTTAACTGCAGACTCCACCTATTCCTGTTTTTCCTTTGCGTGATCACTCTACAAGGTAGCGAAGTGTTCGTCCTGTTAATGTACGAAGCGTCGGGAGTAGTCACGCACGACATACGAAGCCCTTACTGCTCTTCGCATTGGCTCTTCACTAGAGTTCCTCTCCACTCATGCGTATGATTAGCAGAATCTCATCTCTGTCACTTCTCCCAAATACTCGCATTGCCCCTCACGACCAACATTTCTATTTATTACTTTTATAACGCCGGCTCTTCCTTAGTTTAAATGACGGCTAATTCCACATGGATATGTATGTTTCATATGTGCGTTGTTCCACTTTAACTTCATCACCTCGGAGAAGCCCTTAAGTACGTGTGTCTAGAAGTAGTCGGTTTGAGATTCATTTCTCCAGAACTGATGAGTAACCAGCATTAGTTGTACTTAAATAGAATGACGTCATAATTGTTACTATTAAAAATCGTAAACCTGTAATATTATTATTAAAATTTCATTATGTGCTATAAAAAGATAAATTTATTTTCATTGTTTTAAATAAAAATGTGCCACAAATGTTTGAAATTTTCCGAAACAACTTTTAGCGTGTCATGAGAAGCATGAAAAGAAGCGATGAGACTGGCGGATTTTGTGCTAACAGTCATTGAACTTGAGTAATAGATTCCCCAATCCCATCAGCGCCACCGTGATGATGCGCGGTACCAATTTATTAATATGATAAGGCGCTAGTTGCTACATGATTAAATGCCGTTTGTAAGCGAAAACCATGAAATACAGAATTATTAAAGGAATAAGAAATTAATCAAAATCGATTTTGAACAAAAGGATAAAATTTACTCTATGTTCATGTGGGAAACGTGGAAGGTAAATTTTAACAAGGTTCACACCAACAATGCACTTTTTCAAGAAATTTCAAAATTTCAAGTCACCTGTGGAACAGTGTTTGTTGTTTTGTTTTAAAGAATCTGCTCATTTATTTTTCATAATTAGGTATCGTTTTCATCGGTTTGTAGAAACAAATGAAACAACAGAAGTGATCACTTTTGTTAGGAAATTTCATGTAACGAAGTTGTCACGAACGTGTCACATTTGCATTTATCAGTAGAAACACTTATGCTCTGGTGTATGGGAGGTCGCGTTCTGAGGTAGTCAAAAAGATTTCATGAACCAGCAGAACGCCCTTGTACGATGAGTTGCCTATCAATTAGGTCCAAATGTCACATGACAAAATTCGTTTTATGAAATATCCAGACATATATTCATTGGCAAAAAGAGATCATCTTCAATTTTTTTATAGTCTTAGTAGTTAGTAAAATTGATTCTAATTCACCTGTATATACTCTGATAATATCATGTTAAGAGGAAAATATTATTTATAACTAATATGAAAAATTCACTTCAACATAACTCTAACTTAGAAATATATTTTTGCAGTGGGAAGAAACAGTGATCCTAATCTACAAAGCAGGCTACATGGTGTCTCTGGTAGCACTCTTACTGTCCATTGGAATTCTTCTTTACTTCAAGTGAGTAACACATTTTATCAAACATTCACACAGCAATGTTGATATGAAGCAAATATTGTAACAATTGGTAGTTAGAAGCTGGCATGTCTGAATTCTGATGAATCATTATAACTTGAGCAAAACTGTTTTTTTGCAAGATTATTAAATAGCAGATTAACTTAATAGCAAGCAGGTCTCAAATGAAGACATTATTATGCCAAAAGGTAAAATGAATCTCGCTTAGAGACACTGGAAGCAACGTGAATTCGCATGTTCTGTCCCAGGACTCTTCGCTGTGCGCGCACTACTTTGCATATGAACCTGTTTTCCTCGTTCGCCGCCAACAATCTGCTGTGGCTCTTGTGGTACGGCCTCGTTGTAGCACGTCCGGACGTCATTGCTGACAATGGGGTGAGTATGACAGACAAACCTCATTCTTCCAAATATCAAACTCCATCAGCTCGAAATTCTTTCACTTCGTTTTGGCTATTTTCTTCCCTAACCTCTCACTGTTAAACTGCCACACGTGAATTTAGTTCAGTTTTTAATGTCATTCAAACCACTAACAGCTATACCTCACACTATAATATAGGAATACTTATATAAACATTTGCAGTACTTATTTGTAAAATTATGCAATTTAAGTAATAATAAAAAAACTTCAATAGAATATTTGCATTGTTTTTATTGCGAAACGCTTTCAATACTTTCTCAACGTCTTTCGTAGAGGTGTTCTGCAGGTCACCAACTACGCAAAGTATTGGGTGACTGTTGGTGATCGTATCAACCAAACATTTTTTTAAAACTTTGAACTTGAATTCAAACGTAGTATATTTTACATTAAGAAATATTAAATAATAAAAACGTTAATTCAAATGTACAACATTCGACAAAATTTGTTGCTGTTTGTCAAAATTGTATCTACTTTATGCATTTCCTGTATTCCTACCACCATGAAAGTTTGCATGGTTTTAAGTTTTGACAAACGTAAGTAATCGACCTATTTTAATACAGATAACTCTATCTTTACATTAAAAATGCATTAGAATATTGTGTTCTTTCTCAGGAGATACAAAATATTATAAACCTTTTTAATGCAAAGTTAAAATTTTCTGTATTAAAATAAGTCGATTATTCGTGTTTGTTAACAATTTATACAGACGTTAATTGCGTACTTATATCTAAAGTTTGGACGCATGCATTGCAAAGCCAAAGTAATGCGCTAATGGTGTTTTCATCTCGAGCGGATCCAGGGGGTTATACAAGTAATGCCCTCATCCATTTGTATGTAATTATAATCAATTCATTGAAAATCATTGTCAGATGTTGATCTCACATTTTAAACGAGTATTCCTATTGAGTCAGGCAGGGGACATCTTAAGACTTAATTCACATTCTATGAAAGTATGATTTTTTTATACGAATTTATGGGTTTGAGTTCCGAACAACAATTGAAGACTAGAATTGGGAAACGCTGAAAGTGCCAACTCACTCTGCACATTCAAAGTTCAAAGGAGCAGATTACACCGGCCAACAGTGAACACCTCTCCGGCTGGAAAATAGCCATTTCTAATTTATTTGATAATGGAAAAACGAAAATGACCTTTAAAACTTGCTGTTAGCTCGTGGCTCTTTGATGTAGCCCGTATAAGTCTTGAGGATTTTTTGCGAAACACCTGGAGATCGTGTTGGCACATCTGAGCACAGCAGTGATGGTTAAGGAATTATTTTTATCACTCTGTATATCTTCATAGCTGCGCTGCATGTTCAGATAAAAGAGGCGGACTGTAGAATACCACAACATCCCATCAGCCATTCCACCACAAGGAGACCCGTACCACTCCCCAAGGAAGAGCACACTCAACAGTTAGATGATAAACTTCCATTTCCTACATTTTTGGACTGCTCACCCGACAACTGCTACTGTAAGTGACGAAATGGAGAACGATTCCATCAGTACATTTCGTAAATGGAACGAAGGTATAAGAGGAAATAGAACACTGCTATGCTGTCGGACTACTGTTGGACAGGGACAAGAGAAAACGCAGAAAAGTAATACAAGCGACGGGCAAGGAAAAGACATTCACGTTAATAAGTTATTTTATTTGAGGATAGTGTAGGTGTAAAACCAAAATTAGTCGTACTAAACAATATTCAATGTCACATTCATTATGTTCGACCCCAAAGTAAAATACTTAGGCTATATTGAAAAATTAAAGAATTCCTAAGTATATTTCTAGTATTTCTCCTTGAAACTATTGTATCTACAAAACTAAAGCTAACAAAAAATTGTCATATTTCTTCACAAATTACGGTAGTTTCGCCATCTTGAAAAAGGAAGGAATTCCAAAGTACAGCATTACTGAAGCCGAACTGAAATACTACAAACATCTTTGAAGACTTTCCGCTTCTTTGCTATGCTACTTTTTGGAGTTTCTGTGAAAAAATCTGAAAAAACGTAGTGATGGTACTGTCAGCGTTTCGCACTTCCAGTCTTCAACTGACACCCCCACACACTTTTTTCAATACTTTCCGTGCCCACCCCTGGCTTCCAACTCTGAGGCAACCCCACGCGGTTCGACTGTTTGTTCAGCCGAGCGAAAAACCAAAAAGCGCGTGCGGGCGCGTGCGCAGGCGGGCTGTCAGCTGCTGGACGTAGTGCTGCACTACTTCCTGGTGAGCAACTACTGCTGGATGCTCTGTGAAGGGCTGTACCTGCACACGCTGCTGGTGGCGACGTTCGTGTCGGAGGGCCGGCTGCTGCGCGGCCTGTTCGCCCTCGGCTGGGGGCTGCCGGCGCCCGCCGTCATCGTCTACGCCGCCAAGCGCGCCAGCGACCCCGATCCCGCCGAGTCCGGCAAGTGAGTCCCCACGCCGACTGCCACACCGTGCCTCTGGCCGGGAGGTCAGGGTTTTTCTACACTACCTTCAGAGCTGGGTCGAATTCAGCCGCTGGCTGGAGAATTCTAGCGGCCGGCAGATCCGATCGATAGTTTTCTGTGGTTTCTCCGATCAACACCACGCGAATGCCGGAGCGGTACCCTAACAAACGAGACACAAACCGCGCGCGATCTTTCCTTCTCATTCTTTGTATTATCCTCACCTCTTACTTACACACTTACATGCACTACACTATCACACATGCCGAGAGACCGATCGGGAGCTTAGAGCTTTTCCAGCAGCTGGAGCAGTTCTCCGCTGGTGGGAGAAACCTGGTTGGGGAGAAACTCCGATAGCGGATGGTAGGTTGGCGAAGGATCTCACCATCCAGCGGTTATCACCGCTATCTCTCGCGATTAAACAAGCACAATGCTTACGGGAGTAATGACCTTAACAGTTGATGTGCCCGGATCCACTAATCAAAGAACTAACCTACCAGCGGCGGTTTCACGTACAATCACTGATGCCTTATTTTACGTGGCGAGGATCAGGCCATCAGGCCAGCTCGTTTAGCTTTAAGGATCTTTTACATGCGGATGTAGTAAATCTACCAGGGACAACCGGCTTTCCTCCTCCCTCCCCGAAGAGAGGCGAAAGACTTTTTCGCCCTTGAAAATCCACGGCTTCAATCGGGTTTGAACCGATTCGCTACACGATACACGAATTCTATTGAGCATAACAATCCGATACGCTGTTCTACCGCCGAAGCCACAAGAGGGCAGGAAAAGAGTCCTCAAAGATGTTCTATGTTTTCAATCTTGAAATTACCAAATAAAATACCGACTGCTGTGATTGTTATGATCGGTAGGTTTCCATGGTTTCTTTGATCAATACTACGCGAATGTCGGAGTAGAACCTCACAAACGGGCCTCAGATCATGCGCAACCTCTGCCCCTTCCTTTCGCATTACACATACCCTTACAGTTACACGCACCATCCTACAACAGATATCGGGGTACTAGCCGGATGCTTAGCAATTGCTCCGGTTGGGTGAGGGGTAGAGATGGAAGAGATATTAAGGGGAGAACACCGCAAGCTGATGCACAGTTCGGGGCTGGATCGAACGTCTCAGCCACCTCACGGGATCAAATGCACATTAATAAAGTGCACTGCAATTACGGAACTAATGATCGTAGTTGACGCGTCCGGAAATAGTAAACGATCTATCACTCAATCAACCAAAAAATATTGGGCTACTGTCCACGCGCGATCTTCCCTTTCTCGTCAGCTTCCCATCTTCTACCCTCAGACACCACTTGCATGCTAAACACACATCGAGAGATCAGTCGGGGGAGCTTGGAGCTTATGTATGCTGCGGTGGTGCCCCGCTTGGGGAAATTCCTGGAGAAAGGAAACCTTTCACTCCTAAATACTTATGTCACTGCAGTACCTCTGACGGGCAGGTCTACGGTTCGAGTCTCGACGTTGGCGGCAGGATTTTCGATACTAGCTAGGTAGATGGCTACGTCAAGTTCAGCCGCTCTGTGGATGCGAATTCTAATGGCCGTCTGCTCTGATCGGTAGCTTTCCGTGCTGACGCTACCGGAAACATGAAATAATAAATCAATCCTACAGGAAGAACGGCGCCAGTTCTCCTTCTGGGATCCAGTAGTATGCAATTTACTAACGGAACTAATGATCGTAGAAGAGGCCGCGCCGGAAAAAAAATCAAAAATCAAATGTATTACGAGATTGTGGTTCGGAGGCATCGTCGATAAATCATTTTAAATGTTTAAAACCTTCACGAATCTCATTAACATCCCTTCTAAGAAAAGTATGCATGTCGGATCGTGTTATAGTTGCTGGATCAGCGAGAGCAAGTACCGCATCGCGCTCAACATCCCAGTGTGCGCCGCCATCTTCCTCAACGTCATCTTCATGATCAACATCGTGCGAGTGGTGGTGCGCAAGCTGCTGGCCGGCCCGCGGGTCGGCTCGGCGCGGCCCTCCAGCACGATGCTACAGGTGGGCATGAAGACTCCCTCAATCATACACTGCTACTCATAATTACAACGCATATCGTTAGGAACCACATTCATCAGATGTCGGTATCAATCAGGGTCGGGTTTAAGGGTGGGAAAGGTGGGGCGGCGGTCCAGGGACCCCCACCGAATAAAAAAAGTTGGGGGGAAATGATGAATTTTAATGAAAGTCATACGATGTGAATCCAATTCTTATAATTTTGTCATTTAAATAACGCATTCGTATTCACGCTTTTTGATTGTATTTGTTAAATTAAAATTTTTATTTAATTTTAATTAATTACATTTAAACTTTTTAACTTTTTTATGTTAAATATATTTTAAACTTTTATTTTGTTTTAATTTTATATTTACATTATTTTATAATCAAATTAGCCTTTTTTCTATGTCACGAAATAACAACGCAATAATTCGACAGCAAGTCCAGAATGTTTCCCCTAATGTGGAAATCATTTTGAAACTTTACCTTATTTTGATGATAACTAATTGTACAGCTAAAAGATTGTTTTCAAATTTGAAAGAAGTTAAAAATAGATTGCGAACGATATTGACTCGACATCTGAACGATCTCGCTATTTTTAGAAAAACGATATGCTGAAAGAAATATATTTCGACGATGATCTGATGATTTTGCGGAAAGGAAAGTCGAAAAACTGCCTCTCTGACATATTTAAAAGAGTGTATTTTATTGTTACCAAAAATTAATAATTACAGTCAAATATATGTGTATCACAGTACATGTGTATCAAATGTGTGTACATGTATCACAGTACATGTGTGTCAAGTACATGTGTATCAAATGTACATGTCGCAGTTATCACAGACAAATGCATGTGACGTACAGTACTGAAAATAAATGTAATAGTAGTTTATGCAATTAGTTAATAATGTTAAGCTTTATTGCATGAGTACATGTTTTGAAAACGAGATACTTTCTGAGCGAGTTTTCAAATTTGTACGAATGTAATAAAGCAACATTATAAACGAGTTGCATACTATAATTTTTGTATAACAGCATTATACATTTATAAGAGAATCAAACAAGTTTGCGAAACAACTTCCCTGTGACGACTCGGGTATTTGCCATCGTGCGAATAAACAGTGGTCGGCTGTTGCGTTTAGGTCTACCTCTTCCCGATTCTCTCGCTACGATTGGCTGAATGTGTGATGACGCAATTATTCGTGACATAAAATCTAATACGTCATCATTTGTGCCGTAAAATGCCCATTATGAACGATATCTTGCAACAGAAAAAGTTCCTTTATAATGCTAGAATACAAAAAATAGTTTTATAGCGTTTTTTTATCTTTTTCCTGAGATTCCTCAATCGATTTTTTGCCCAGGGGCTTCCACCACAGTAAATCAAAATCAAAACCAAAACCAAATCACCAACCAAAACGTGCAGAGTACCAAAAAGAAAATACCATATTATTAATTACTTCATTATTAAATTCACAGAGCATTCATTTTAATTGTGAACGAGAAGATTGTAAATTTACTCATCTTGAATACCGTCAGTTCTATCTAAATTTGTAATCTTCTCTTCCTAATATTGTGAAAAACGAATTGGAATCTTAATAGTACGGTTTCGAATTTTCAGTCTTAAAATCAGTTTAAGGCTCTTTTGGTGCGTGACTTCTCACATACGGCAGGATTAAGTCCTATTAGTTTTTTTATTATTATTAGTGAAAGAACGTGCATAAATCAGTATTTTTTTTACTACATCATATGTTTAGCAAATCTAACATTAAGGCTCCCACAGACCGGTGCGGAAGATCCGCAACGTACGCGGATTGGCGGCAGTGGAAATTATGCGTCACGTGTTGCCTTATGAGCATGTTCAGACCTGTGAGGCAGGCGAGCGTCGCGGCAGCGGATTGGCAGCGGATTAGCAGCACCTTCGGATTTTGAAACGCCGTGGGACGCGTTTCGTCCGCTGCCGCTCGAGTTTCGTGGAAGTCCGCCCGCTTTCGGGAGTCTCGCTCCCCTATGGGGCGAGTTCCCTTGCATTTATCGGATGAGGAACTGTCACCAAACGCCGAGTCATAATTGACGCTCCGTGTGAACGTTCCCGCGGGTTCCGCTGCCGCGTCTGGCAGGGAATTTTCCGCGCCACACCCGCTGCGGATTTACCGTGCCGGTCTGTAGGAGCCTTTTAGCATAAATTCTGATTTTACAATTATAGCTAACTACACATAAAACCCACAGAGCACATATGGGATTAATTCAAACCAGAAAATATGTTGAGGAACGAGTCTAAAGGGTCTATTTTTTAGGAGCTGGTAGGTGGTGGCTGAGTCGTAATGGGTTGCTTGGATTGTTGCATTTATTTTGGAGAAAAAATGTTAGATTGGAGTGCAATATGGTGAACTAGGGGGCGAGAGGTAAATTCAATTCTTTGTGAAATTGAATCTTTGAAATGAACCAGGGTGCATTAGTGGCCAATGTAAAGAAATGTGGATGATCTGTAATTTTGATAGTAGTTTTAGAAGCGTTGATCCAAATTTGGTATGCAAAAAGCATTAGGGGTCTGATTATTGATTTATAAAGGGTGATGGCATTGTTAAATGAGAGCTTACTTTTGAAGTTTAGATGTGGCTTCAGTTGAATTAGTTTTATTTTGGCTTCCTATGATTCTGCTGTTATGTGGTTTTTCCAATTTAGTCTGATATAAAGATTAAGCCCTAGATATTTGACGGATTGATTGTGCGAGATCCATGGAATTGGGTGATTATTTATTTGGAGTGGAGTAAGGGTTGAAAATGTTCTTAATGAGTTTTTTTGCGAGTGATTTTGTAGGGTTGAGTTTGATTTTCCATTTAATAGTCCAGTAGTCAATTTTATTTACATGTGTTGGAATTTGTTTCAAGGGCTATTAGTGTTGTTTCAAAGACAGTTAAGATTCGTGCGGGTGGTCAGGAGATTAACGTCATTTTGTACCCGAAAATCGGGATATCTGTGTGGATGGATTGCAGAGGAATGGACAGATAGATGGAAGCGTGCGTCTTGCATAACTGTCATATTAGAAGCAGATAATCGCGACAGTACTTCCACGTAATGTTCATTAGACACTTTCGCTTCATAAAAGTTATGTTTTTAGAAACAAGACGGCAAGTTAATACTTACAAATGATTTTCAGTGCTACAGGAGTCTGCTATTATTATCAATTTTTTGCAGGTCTAATAATTTGGACAGATATATACATCCTTTGGTGGCGGAAAACTTAATAATTTGAAGTGATGACATGCTAAAACAAATATTGACTATATTAAACTAGTGGTACTGCACACCCCAAACTCGCATTTTTCTCACATTTGCAATTTTCTAAAATTCGGAGTACAATGAAAATGAGACTTGAGTCATTTTCTAAGCGTCCTTTGCACTATTTGAGAAAAACGTTTCATCAAAAAATTTGAAAACATTTTAGAGAAAATTTTGAAAATGTAGTTGAGGTTTCATGTCAAGTACTCATGAAAATCAAATTATCCTTTTCGAACTAGGAGAGCCTCGAATTCGCACAGATCGATCGGGGATTGACAATTTTAGAAAAAGTCGAACGGTTTACGCTTTAACGATGACCACAGACATTTGGTCTTCAGCCAGTTTTTCGGTATCAAGGACACATAAAATATATTACACATGTTGGGAGCTTAGAGCCTGTCCCGGCAGGGCCGGTGTCACGCTCGAGAAAGATACCTCGTTGGGAAAAATCTCCACAAGCCGACGTAGGTCAGCGCTGGATCTCGCCAGCGAGGCAAAATCACAGGCACCTCCCGCGATAAAAAAACATTCACTACACTTTAAGGACTAATGACCTTGACCGTTGACGCGCTCAGAATCACCAATCAATCAATTGATGCTGAAGTTAGGCTGGGTTAATTACTGTATTCATGAAGTTAATGGCTGGCAACGAAATATCACACTAGCCATAGAAACTTACCCCCACCTATCTGACCCCTGTTTACCATATACTGTCACAGAAGCTCAAGGATCTACATCTGCCTCATAACTTATTTAACCTAACAAAATACAATTAAAAACTGTGACTAAGTGCACTTCATGTTGGCTGAGATGAAATTAATCTTAATAAAGCCCAAGGAAAGCTTTTGAAGCTGTTCCTACTTCAGACTTCATCCATTTTGAATATTGTGTACATTACTCAGCTAATATGTGAAATAGGTAGATTCAAACATTAACTTCATAACATGAAACATTTTAGACATATCCTAATTTTTCGAAATTATTTATTATTAATTAACGATATTTTTTTTTCTCAGGCTCTTCGAGCAACTTTACTGCTTGTTCCTTTACTGGGCCTCCAATACATGCTCACACCATTCAAACCTCACGAAGACCATGAATACTTCCGGGTCTATGAGGTCACATTGGCAGTAACAGCATCCTTCCAAGTAAGACAAATTAAAGGCATCACCTAGAGAAGTTTAAAATTCTAGTACAATTTCACTACTGTTGAAACAACAACAGATACAGATATTTTGAAAAAGTCAAATTTGGAATACCTAAACCCAATAGATCTTCATTTGTTGTAATACTTGTGGACTTAATGAATGTTAACTACTTGAATAATGAATTGATATTTTTTGAAGCATTTTCAAAATTTTGAAAAAATGCATTTTCTTTCACAAAGCAGAAGGGAATATTTTTCCCTTCTCCCAAAAACTATATTTCTGTCTTGCATTATTTTTGAAATTAAGTAATTTTGTTAAAATGTAATGAAGTGATTGTGATTAATTGATTCTATGTCATGTAGTGATTGTACCTGAGTGGTATGACAATTATCATTAGAATCACAATCTAAAATTCATGTTTCAAAATGATTCATGTCACATTCTATTTTAAAGGTGTTCTAATCAGGAAGTCCTTCAATTTCATTTTATCACATGCCTTAAATTAAGCATATTTATTAATTGCTCTTTATTGTAATTTTTCTTTTCAGGGACTGTGTGTTGCCACATTATTTTGCTTCTGCAACGGAGAGGTAATATGACAAAATATGAGATCAGACGGTAGTGAATAGAACTTTTCCCTCCTACCATAGTCACAATTTGTGTATTAAACATTTATTTTCATTCACCTTTCTTTTTTCTTTTGGAACCATTAGGTAAAATATTTTGACCACACAAAGTGTTTAGACAAAATCCAATATGTCATGGTACGAGGTCAAAGATCTCAACATTAACAGTTTTTGCACAAAAACATAGAATTTCATTTCAATTCATTACCTCACAACTTAACATAAATTTTAATTAACTATATTGTCAAATCACTGAACATTTTTTATTGGTTGACCCAATAGAAAAATATCAAGAATTTATGAAGTGGGGGCAACATTTTGATAAATCTTATTTCCTACATAAACATCTTAGATTTTCCTAAAGAAAAAACATTGTAATTGAAATACTTTACAAATATTCCATAGATATTTAATAAGAGAATACAAAGCGTAGGAAAATATACACAAACTGAGAAATAATTGGGGTACCAAAACTTCATTTTTCATCTAGCTTACAAAAATTAGGGTTATTATAATATTACCCAAACTCTTTAATTCTAAAATCTGAACAAAATTAAAAAACTATAAGCAGTAAAATAAATTCTAATACGAAAACCAGAGCTACAACAGCATATTTCAAATAAATATTTAGAAAACCTTAAGATATGAAACTTATAACATGCTAAATGAAACTTTGAAATTCAAATAAAGGTTTCATCAAGATCATGGTTGTGTTGCAGGTAATTCAACAAATAAAACGAAGATGGCAGCACCTAATGTTTAGACCTCGTGCTAATTCATGCACAGCCACCACGGTCTCGGTACGTCAGGTTAGGTTAGGTTGAATTCCTTTCAATGTCGTGTTGTAATTAGAAGGCACGATGCATGATCATCTATTTTATTAAAAGCATGCCTATATTCACATAAGCATTCTAAGTCAAGTTCATTCATGCATGACTTAACAATTGATATTTTCAAATTAGCTCTTGAAACCATGTATTTCTTGCTTCTCAAAGACAGCACATTTGTATGGAAAAACCGGTCTTTTGTCACCAAAACAAAAATATTGTAAATTTTGTCAAATAAATGGATGGCCTGTCAACATGATACAAAGTACACAGGCTAATCAAAATATTTAGATTGAGTATGAATTTGTATCTCCCCACATCAAATTCCCACAACAAGCTTTTTTCACAATTACTTCAGTTACACTTCTACTCCTGCTGTAAAAATGAATCTGTCATTATTTAATGGTGTATAAACAATGAAAAATAACTTCTTTAAACTGTTCGTGAAAAAGTTTATTTTATAGAAAATATGTATGTAAATTACAGAAAACAAAAATAAAAGCTAACAAATTATTTCTGCAATGGGAAATTTTTGTACTGAAATTCACTTCAAACTGCATTTTAAGAATAAAATGCCATTGTACATCTTCGTTATGCATGGGGAAAAAATTGCACCCATTGCTTTCAAAAATGAGAGAATGTTATTACATGAAAAGAAGTAGAATTAGATTATTAGACTCTACACTTCATTCAGCAATTTTTATAATGTTCATTAAATTACTTTTCAGTTTGTACGATCTACAAACGGCCCTCTAGCTGGTGAAGACAATGTATGAGCTGTCAACAGAGAAAAATAAAAGAAGAACTTGTGATAGTGAATAATTGTCACTGTGCCAAAACATTTTGAAACTGTGCACCTGGCAGTTGCAATGTACAAAACAACATACTGTTACTTCCTGTCGAGATACACAACCCTCTTATACCAAAGAAATTAAGTGAAAGTATTTTGTTCAAGGGTTTCATGTTGTGCTTATGTGTCTTCTAATGTGTGAAAGGAAGTGAAATGTGATTTGTAATTTATTGCCTCTATTGTCACGAAGACGTTTACTCGCTTATTGGGAACAATCAAATGTATCACTGAAAACAAATTGAATATTTCAATTCCCAAGTAGTGAGAAATGAAAATAATCTAATAAAAATGTGATGTTGTAAAGAAAAATAATGATAGTACATATTGTTAAAAGGTTGTAATGCAAAATGTTGCAACTAGTGTATATGAAATAAAACATTACTTTAAAAACCAGGTGCAAAAACATTTAATTTGAAAAATCTGTATAAATATAATAAATTACTTGGAGTAATTGGAACATTTTAAATTTCACTAAATAATGTCATGAATAGCAAATATAATTGAACAAACAATACGAGAAGCACATTCTGAGAAAATATATATATTTCTTTTGGAAATAACAATATATATTGAATAATTTGAATTAAATTAAATTATTGTATTATTAGGGAATTAAAGATTGTGGTAAATTGAAAAACATACAATACTCTTATTACAATATAACATTTTTTTTTTGGTTAAATTCAAGAAAATAATAATTGAATACACAGATCAAGAAGTTGCCAAGTATTAAACTTTACAACCAAAACATCCAACAAGTTTCAAAATTACTGCAGATTTTCTAATATTACTACTATTACTTATTTATTAGCTACATAAAAATATGTAATATGTATTCTCACATATCCCGAACACTTATACTCTTCTGACTCTTCCATACTATATAAATTAAATATTTTATTGACAATATAACAAGAAATTATTTCAAACAAATTCCACATTCACATCAATAATGTCCCAAAAATGTTTCCAGCAACAATTTTTTTTTTATTACACAAGTATTTACACATTAGATTAAAAGAACTTACTATAACATAACATCGTCTTTATTGACCTTTGGTAAACTAAAGATGCCATGTTGCTAGATTGTCACCATTATCAAAACTAAAGTGAAAAATTATTATATAAACATGCAATCTATACCACAGAAACCTCTTGAACATTTGAAATCATAACAGTTTATCTACTTCTACATAAGCACTGTAAGCATTTCAATTTCAAAAATCTTGCATGTCATTCTCTTAATCGTAACAGTTCAATCATCTCCCCCATCCCACTTCTTCAAAAGAGAGTCTATATGACAATAAAATAAGCTTTCTTATTTTTCAATGGAACACTCCAATCATAAAAGTCATGAGATGCCTGGTACGCTCAAATTATTGGACAAATTAACAACCAATGTTATCAACATACAGTGATATCTGTGTTAAGTCACTAGTTCCAACAAAACTTTGTCTTTCATAGGAAGTGGCCTCTTAATCAATGTTATAAAGTTATTGAAAGAATAAAATCAAATCTAATTTTTCTATTTGCTATGAGATGAAGTACGTTCACTTTAACACTTTTAAATATAAAGGATAAAATACAATTTAAACAAGAATTTAGGATCACTTGCCTCTCAACCAATATCAAAACACACCCTTAACTTCGCACTAATCTCTTAGTCAAGAAACTCATTTTACAATCAAATCAATAACGCAAACTAGTCTAAAAAATGCATTTCAGGTTCTGTAGAAACCTAACTTAGGGCCATTTGACAGCGAAGTTATCGAATGACTTTCAAAACACGCACATGGCATACTACGCAAGTCCTTAATACATTCCCACAGAAGAGAAGCACGAGTTAGCAAACCATAAAAGTTTTATGAAATAGAGAAAATGGCTGTTAACAGAGGTGACTACTTAATGAAGGTGGCTGTTTGATGGTTTCATTGCAATTGATTTCAGCCAAAAAGTCAGATACCATTATTTACCCAAATGCCTCATTGACAAGAGTAGGCATTGAAAATTAGAATTATAGAATAATAGAAATATAGAATTTAAAATAAATTATATTTCAAAATTATTTTAAAAAAGTTGTGAAACGTGATCTAACCTACAACTCAATCGACAATACATATAAAGTTACTAGGATTCCAGAAATTATCTTATTCATTATTAGCTATCCATCAATTTCCACGACACATTGTACAGTGATAGAAAGCTGTTTTCAAAAGAAATGCTATCATTTTCATTTCAAGAAATGAAATCATTTTTTAGGTCAAAATAATAATGTACAGCATAAGCCAAATACAAGAAATTAAGGACAAATTAGCAGCAAAAGATTTCAATATCACCAACAGAGTGAAAAATACTGTCATAATAACTTGTATGCTTCAGAATGTGGTCTATATGGCAGGTCCAGAATTACATTAACTCAGAAAATTATTTTATAGAGGTTTGAAAGTTTCAAATTGTCAAACAAAACATGTTACAACTTAATAGAACAGATTAAGTTATAACTGTTACTGCAACAAAAACTTTGCAGGACAAATAATAAGTATAAAACAAAATAGCACACAAGCACGCAAACACAGTCAGAAAGTACATACTATCTTGCAGATCATACCTTCCAACAATTGCATTTGCTTCCACAAATGCAGTACCACAAACAGTAAAACAAATACTTCATTATTAAAATAAAAACAAAGTACCGACTGTAAAGCACTGAAAATTATAATCAGCACATAATTGAAAATAAATTGACAAAATAAGCAAATATACATGAAGAGAAGAAAATATTAATATATTAATAAAAGAATAATGGATGAGCTGAAAATTGAATAAGCCATGGTGCAACTTTAATTTGACCTTTAAATTTTAAAACAGTAGACAAAGGAAAAAAGAGAATTTCAAAACTGTTTAAACTCATTAAACAAAATTTTCAAACAAAATAAAAGACAGTTATTCAATTCGCCAGAAAAAAATAATTTCCAGAGACCACTTACTTGTTAGCCACCCTTGCTGCCCTCATGACTTTAGATACTTCCATTTATCACAAAGTGACAGGAAAAGTTCACATAATTAAAGAACTTTTCACTGCAAATGAATTAAAAAGATCTCAAAAACTTTACTAACTATGCTGAAATATAATATAGTGCATTATAAAAATACAGTATTTGCAGTTGCCCATATCAGCTTATATCCTAATATCCCATGGACAAAATCATGTAAGATTTGAAATCACTCAACATCAGAACTTCAAAATGCCATCAGTTTTTTCACGTAAGTCAAGACAAGAATTTAAATATATTCATTTACAACTACAAGACACAATGCAATGAGCCAAAACAGAAAGATAGAGAATTTAAAAAATTCAAAATTCATCAAGAACTGAGGATTACTTTCCTGTCCTCTTAATATTATATGAACAATTAAGGTTAATAATTTTCATTTTTGGCTTCAACAAAAAAGAAGTCTAATGCACTTTAAACAAAACAATGTTTGCAAGATAATAATGGTATAGTTTTTGGGAACTAAACAGATCAGTACAGTGTTTACAAAAATAACACCCCCGCAAATTTAGGAGTTAGTAAACCCATCAATAAACTTGACACAAGATTAACACTATGATTATCCAGCAGCTGAATGCCACTGATGTGTCTCACCCCTCTTCCAGCCTTTTCCACGACACAGCCAGTCCTTTCATTCAAACCTGAAATGAAAATAAATCTTATTAACATACCATTAAAAGATTTTTTCACAAAATTGTTATTTAACTTGTAAAGAACAAAGGTGGTTCTTGATTTATATTTATGTATTTTTTAATGAATTATCCTGGAAGTAATTATGTGCAACCTATCAAAGTATCATTCCAACAAATTAAATAGCTTCCCTGAGATCACTGAAAAAATTGGTGAAATTTGGTAAAGAGTAATAATTATGAGCCATCTAATAATTCTACATTATAAATATAACTCAGAGTTATGAAATTCAGGGACATTCCTGGGAAGGTCTTTAAACCAAAACAGATTTGCTAATCCAGGGACTGTCCCCAAGATCTGATAACCTTACATTAACATGCATGTAAACAACAAAAATATTTACGTAAATAAAGTATAAATAAAGAATGAGTATTAAATGAATCCCAATAAGCTCCTTTATAAATCTTTTTTTTTTTATTTCATGTTTTACTCAATTTTAAATTTAATATTTGTACATATTATTTTTATTCCATCTGCTTAAAATACTTCCCGCTGTACACAATATAGAAAATATATTATTTTCTTGAATCTCCAAAGGCAAAAGCAGTTCACCTTACCCAATTATCTCATCAAAATCATCATCAGACAAACTAGGATAATGATACCTGTATCATTTGCCTTCCAGAGAAAACGGAATTATGATAGGCAAAAATTTACTTTACCACATAAATTGAAAGGCTTAAAACAACATAATAATAATCCCTGTTTCTTAGATTTTAAACATACAAAAATAAAATAAAATAAGAGCTTCATTTTGAACATCAACATAGAAAAATGACATAATAAATACCACAGGCACTAACAAAAAAAAGTAGTCAGTCTTGACAGACTGACTTGACACACATTTCTCTAAGTATTTCGTTTGCGCTGAATCTGAAGACAGAATTGCACCACCAACCTCTAATTTTTTTAAATCTTGAAAACCACTATGAAATTCTATTTTTGTTTTCAGGGGTGTTTGTCAGACCCAAAGACTGTCACATGTTTCTCTACGTATGTTGAAGCACTGAATCTGACACTGAAGCCAAAAGTAAGCCACCCTCCAGTTGTTTTTTTTATTGCGAAAAAATATTGTGAAATTTACAATCTACAATTACACAGTGGTTTTTAGAGATTTAAAAAAAATAGAGGGTGGTGGCACAATTCTGGCTTCATATTTGGATTTGGCAAATCAACATGCATACTGGAACATATGTCTTTGGGTTTGCAAACTTCATGTGTGCATGTGTGTGTGAGCGCGTGTATGCGTGCGTGCGTGCATGCACGCGAGTGCCCATGTAATCAATAACTGGTAATAGAAAGACAAATGTATCCACTTAAGTGCAGAATATCAATGTCCAAGGATATGATATGATCATCTCTATGTCAACACCCATAAATGGCATGATTCTCTATTATCCTAATCATAGGTGTGCACAAAGGGAGAACTAGGTGAGCTATGGCCCTTCTTGAATATTTTTGGCTCCACAGCTGTACATGATAATGGTAAAAATTTTATTTTCATGAATATTTTATATTCTATTATTTTCCCCTTTCCAAACTGACAATTAGGGACTTTAAAATTTTATTTAATTTATAGGTCTCTTAAGAAACACCTGAGTTCATTAGCAACCACTACAATTTTTTTGCATAATTAACATGTTAAAAATTATTATAAACAAAGAATAATTAATTACAACGACTTTTCACAATAATTTAAATTCATTTCATTTGGAAATCCCAGAAAATTAAATTCATTATAATGCAATTTGCATTACCAAAGTAAACATGTTCAATGGCTAACTCCTCCAAGATGATTCAACAGATTACAATGATACCCAAGTCAAGTAGATTTTGACTCGATGTAGGATCTTATCATATCACTTGGATGCTTCACTATAAAAATGCTGTGATAATACAATCTGGAATTTTAAAAATACAAACAACAAACTTCCAAGGGTTAGCTCTCAGATGGTTTAACGTGAAACTCAGAAGAGTCCAGTCAGTATTCAATTGTTTTCAAGAATTTCAATTGTTTTCTATCTCCCTAACAAGTGTACAGATTTGGATAAAGTTAAGAACAAGTCTGCAAAATAAGATTTAAATGACACGTGAATCTCAAGTACCACAACAGTTATAAACAATTTACCCAGAAATGAGAGTACTAAGACTCATATGTTTAGCTGTTTCTCCTAAACAAGTACTTAGATTTGAATATAATTACCAAACAAACAATGTACATAAAGATGAGTTTTTTGAGATCCTATTGAAACCCTGATTACACAAAACAAAATGATAATGATTTTTTTCTCCTCAGGGAAGTCTGGATTAGCAACCACCACTTTAGAAGTTAGACTTATATACAACTGGCAGCACCCAGTGAATCGAGCAGGTAGTGCTAGTTGATAATACACCTTAAAAATGTACTTTACACTGAACATATTCAAAATAATGAAAGATCAAAGAAAAATTGTTTATTTAATTAATTCAGTTTTCCCACCATACCTTTCTCCCCACACATACTGTCTCTAGGGAGAGTTATAGTAAGATTTAATCAAGTTAATATTGTGGTGTATTACACCCAATATTCAAAACTCAATTTATGACTGGTATGACTTACCAGAATATTGAAGGGTTGCTCCTAATAAAGAATCCACAATTCCTCCTAACAATCCAGCCAATGCTCCAACAACAATCAGAGGCCATTGTTGTGGACTGGCTCCCAATACGTCTGGATCCACACAATACAGAAGAGCTACATAATAGGCCAATCCAACAGCTGCACCTCCAATAATACTGAAGAACAACCCTGCGAATGTCACTCCACCATTTGTACCTGCATCAAGTAATCATTGTCAGAAAAATTACAAAAACAGAAATTATAATAATAAAGTAAGGATTATAATAAGGAAGTATTTTATACACCTCCAGTTGTGAATATTTATGCTTTCATTTATCTTATCAAATTACTGTAAATGTATTGAATACATTTACATACACATAATACGTACATACACATAAATACTGCAAATGTATTTAATACATTTAATACGTACACGTAATACGTGCACGTAATACGTACATACACGAAAATACTGTAAATGTATTTAATATTTACATACACATATGTGTAGGTAAACATAATACACAATATAACATAATGTACAGTACAATTCTTGACATTAATTAAATTACAATTGCATTAAACTAAATGTCATTCACAGTTATCATTGCAGTACATTCCTGGAGATTTTTATATTGTCAGTGATATTGTAAAATCATATCTGTAGTTCATGGCACAATGCAAATACATTTTCTACTGAGTGGAAGAGAACATTTCTGGTTAACAAATATTGCCAATCATGCTTGTTGGTTTCTTTATTTACAATTAAGCTATTAAGTATTTATTATAATAACAATAATAATAATAATAATAATAATAATAATTAATTATTTATAATAATAATAATTATTATTATTTATAATAATAATAATTATTATTATTTATAATAATAATAATAATTATTATTTATAATAATAATAATAATTATTATTTATAATAATAATAATAATAATTATTATTATTATTATTATACTTATTATAATTAACATACCTCTTGGGACACGTTTTCTTGTAGTAATAAGGAAAGGTTCACCTCCACCTACTACTGCACCCAATTCTGAGGCCCAAGTATCACCATTGCAACATGCAAGAGATCCTGCAAATAAATATTTTAGCATGAAATAAAAAAACCTTTAATAAACGTTTCCATAATCCTGTAAATGATACATTCACATGATAAACAAGCTAAAAAAGGATTCAATTTAATGTCAATCATTTCAAGATTTAACAATGAAACTAGTTACATTAAAATACGGGTATATTAATTATAGAAAATTAAATAGAAAATTATTAGATGCATTCAAATCCATTTAAAAATACTACATTCAATACAGCATAAAATAGGTATTGTTATTACAGGAACATTGACAGACAAATACCAAACAAATAAATCAATATCAGAATGTTCTATAAGTTTGAAGATTGCTAGGCATCAATCAAGAAGATAACACATTACAAAATGACATTATCCATGTGTTTGGAAAATGAAATTAAAAACAAAATATGTAGCATGGTGATAAACATATTTTACTACCAGAAAATCAAAACACAGGTATTACCAAGTGATAGCCATCACATAACTAAAACACTGATTAGCATATCGCCACAATTGCATTATTTGTCCAATCCAATTGTAAAAAAACAAAACAAATTTATCTCAGAACAATTATAATTTACAAAAATATTAAGCTAAAAATAAGATTTGTACTTTTCATATTCAATTAATAAAAAATTCATTGTTTAATATTTTAAATAAATTGAGCATTTCTATTCATTAATAAGAATTTGCATTTTCTTTGAACAAGATACTCTAAACAACATTACATTGAAAATTCAAGATTAATTCAATGAAAATACACTGGCATAATGACTCTTCAAGCATACCTAGGCATGTCTAAGATTTCATCTTGAAATTATTTCCCAGCTCATGTACCAGCAGACAGTGTTCTGTCCTACAGGTTGAAGGGAATCTCTGAGATGACACATGAAAATGGTGCGTTGAGTCAGTTTGCATGCTCGGCCACTGTTCGAGCAGCCGCGTTGTGTATTATACAACTGGCATTGTATTTTCAACAGTATTGAACTCATTTGCTATTATTTTTGCGATAACTTGACAATGAACTATTAATTTGAATAATATATTTAAAAATTACTAATAGTTTCTTTAATTTTGAAAATCATTACTTAGGAGTTAAATTTATTCATAGTTCAATTTTGGAAATAAACAATTAGAAGAAATGAAAATGATTATTTTATTTTTAATACAAAGATCAATGTATATAGAAATCATTTCTACATTCATATCTCTATTTTGGATGTGAAACAGCTCATATCATTCACCTGGATGGAGGGCCGGTTGCCAGGACAAGTTTGACAAGAATGAATGTGGCAAAACATTTTTGTTCAGAGATCAATTGTATATATTTCAACAGACTCTTTCAGATTCACAACACTATTTCATTGTTGGAAGAAGATCTTATCTAGAAATATGAAGAAAATCATTTATCTCTAAGATGCCCTCCGACTGGGTCATGGAATGGATACTGTCATCTGAGAGATGCCCTCCGACCTGAAGAGCAAGCCTCCTTCTTGAAAGCTCCAAGCTCATAGCTCTAGATACCATGTTGCCTTAAAGATGCCGTTTGACATCTAGGACAATCATGTTAACAAATGTTTTGAACCACAAAGGGTAAAAATGAATAACAAAAGTTTAGGCTAAAAGATATGAGATTTTATACTCAATCATTTCAATCAAAGTTAAACAAATCAACTGCACACGTACGCTTCAGCGGCTCGAATCCATAAAATCTTGGCTATCCTGGCTATCTTGGCTGAGAGGCCGACGACACTGTGTCTCCCGGATAGCCACGAATTTGAATAAATCAACTGATCTGAATATAAAAATAACCACACCCAACTACCATGATTCTCTATTTACATTGATCTTTCTAAGTGTATATTGCAAATATCCGTTCTCACTGGAGATATTGCATATTAACTATCAAAAGCACATTAGACACTACACAAAGGCATTGAAATTGCAGAAATGAATTCTACAAATAATGATTCATTAGCATGATCACTGCTTACCATTATTCATCAAGATGGAAATTTTAACATATACACATAAAGTTACATTGTTTTTGTGGAAACAGACTTGCTTAAAGGACTATACATAGTTTTTGTTTAAATTCACTATTCATATATTCAACACAATGTAGTTCTTCAATCAACAGTGTCAACAGCTCTGAATTAGAATAATAGTAACAGCTAGTTAACAAAACTTCAATAATGAAAAAATTATAACTTAAATAGCTTGAGAAATTTTAAAAAAAAGGTACAAAAAAATCTTTCCTGTTGCAGTACTCTTTCACAATGTAAAGGTCTATGTTGAAATACTCCTACTAAAACTAACACAGACTAATTTCTAGTATAATTTTCCATGCACATTATTTATTTAAAATTATAAATACACTCTTCCATCAACAAATATTTTTAAATAATACATACACACGGTAGACACAATAACATATACTAGTACTTACAAGACAATGTGCTCTAAATAAATCATGCTTGAAACTCCAACAACAAAGAAACAAAAACCAACGCTTATCAATATTAAAATGATCATATTTAAAACCACATAATAAGAAAGCAAAAGTACACTTTAACACACTGCCAACAAGAAAGAGGTCCCAGAATTTGTGAACAGCACACTGTAAATGGAAGAAATGCAGATTAAGGTCACTTCTGTCGTGACATGACAAACCACAAATGGCACAGCAAATCCATCCCATCCAAGCATGGCATACCATAAATAGAAGTGAAAAGAAATTGCTCTCTGGAAATAGTATATCACACTGAAGGGTTTACTTTACCATTGAAAAATAGGAACAAATCTCTTTTGAAATAATTATTTAGTCTTGATTACAATTTACAACATACCTGTAGAGTTGTAACCAGATTTATATTCTGAAATCCCATAGAATCCACTATTACACTAAATTTGATGTTAAACACCAATACATGCCATTTACATTTTTGTACAGTGGTAATTAGGTTCCAATTTCTTTTAATACAAATAACTACACTATTTGGCTATTCTTATCTGTGTTACAATAATAATGATTAACAAAATGGTTTGGAATCCTTTTAAAAATGTAATACACACTCATGATACAAACACACACACACACAATCTCTAAAAATCAAATTAATGCTCACTAATCACAAACAAACTTTTCAACAGGACCTAATAACACTTTTTAAATTATTCTTCTCACAGAAGAATCTTTATTACATTTAACACTTATAAAACATTTGTAACTTGTATCATAAACGATGTTCAGTTACTCTCACCTAAAATTCCAAGGCCTAACCATGAAGCACGATAATCTTTGTAGAAATCAATAGGCCGCTCCTCCCATCCCACATCCAAGAGGTATAATATTGCCAAAAGAGTTGCAATTCCTCCATTACACAACACTTGAACCCAATTACGTTGACCACCTAGACAGAAAACAAAAATTTTAAAACAGAGTTTTCGGTTGTGCATGTCTTGTACAAAGGAAGAACGTACTGCAACACCTTCACGAAAATCTTCTTCAAGTTTTCTCTTCTTATTAGCACGAAATTTTGTGGCCTTTGAAGATGAAACAAAAAACATCAGCAAAGAAGCCAAGAAGGAGTAACTTGTGAGCGTTAATATAAATCCCATAAACAAACCTGAAAAAAAAAAGGAACTTGAACTTAAATCACCAGAACATTGTTAACATAATTATCATTCAAACAATTTTACGACAGTTGTGGCATTACATGATGGGAACTTGTTGTGTGTGCTTACCAAGGCCAGCACCAGATTTGTCCAAACTTTTTTTCTTTAAACCCCATGCTGCAATAAAAAGAGGAATTCCAGTAGCAGCAAGCCATCTAGTTGGAGGGATAACAATGCCATCTGAAACAGATCCGCGTTGTGAACAGTACCAAGCCGTAATCCAGTAATAGTAAAAACACGAATAATCTGGAGATTAATACCTTCATGCAAATGTGTCCGCTCCAGAGCGAAAAATGAAAAGGCTAAATTCCCTATCCACATTACCATCGATACCGGCAAAGCCAAAGCACATATTACGATCGGCAAAAATGTACCGGACTTCTGACGATCGTCCTCCTTCTCTTCAACAGATATTCTCGAAAGATTTTCCATTGTACAGACTTTCTTAAATGAAGGCAGTGCAATCAAACACTTCTCAAATGCCAGACGTAGTCAGACCGAATTCCATCCTTCAGCTGCCCAATGAATTCCCATTCCTAATAATACAAAGTCGAAAGTCTGCTTGCGCCTACTTCTGCCACTTTCTCACCGGGACTTCAGCTCCAGACGGCTGAGACGATCGGCCCCCGGGCCACACTATTCTCTCGCTTGCCCATGCACCAGCCGCAACGGCTAGGCAAAATATTTTAATAACGTAGATACATCAATGATTTTTTTCTTCGTTATGCCATTATTTCAACAACTGAAAGAATTTCAAATTGTCCGATGACAATTGTCCATCACTTTCAAAGACATTTAGAGACAAAAATTCGAATAAAGGTATGCACCCTTTCGGAGATGTATTACGTGGGCATGAAATTACCTCTCTCCTAATGTTGTGACGAGAGGTAACATCCCAGAAATCAAAATACAAATCTGGAGGTGTAGATTGAATGATGAATTTCCAAAGCAATGACATTTTATCTCTATTCGTAACTTTTAATCATTTTTATTCACATTACTCCATAAAATTGCATTTGAGTATTGATTGTAGGAGTGGCGTTTCTGGGGGGCCAGAAACTTATTCTAGCCCTCTTGTTCCAGTGCTAGTTCATGTCATACCTATCACAAAAGAATGAATAAGGCTCTATTCTATTAATTATAACAATTTATGTAGTAGAGCTATTCTCCTTGTTTTTAATTGTGGACAGTTCAATACACTCTGGTTGTGCGGTCAGGTCACAACCAGTATACTAGAACTAGTCACACAGTGTGGCCTCGGATATGCGCATCGCTTCTCAGACCACCTCTCTTAATATTCTTAAAAAAAAAAAAAAGATCTGGACCACCTCTCCTTTAGATCTGTTATGATAACTGAACCGATCCTCTCTGCCGATCCTAGCCGGCCACCCGTGCTGGAAGTATTTGGCCTAGTCAGTGCAAAACAATGCAGAACCAATGTCGCCACCCTATAATGCGCAAACACCCCTTCCTCAAGTTCTCAAGTATTCGATTTCTCTCTACTTGTCTCCGAATAAATACTGATATCATCATGAGACTGTATAATCATGAAATCATTGATAAGCATTCCGATCAAATAAAGAATATCCTGCTCAATTGCGAAGCTATTTCAATGCAAACAACTTTGACACACAGAAGTATTGGTACCATTAGTGTATGTAGAGACATTAGAACACTGCATTGCGCAGTACAACCAACTAGAGACCATGGATAAATATTGTTAATATATGATTATACGTTTTAAAGCAACCATGACGTTCAGACTATATCATCACAGTATTATATTTGATATTATAGCACACAAATGGGCAACGAGGTATATAACATACTTTTTTTTTAATGTATAGGAAGTTTGTGCACCCTCGAACGATAAAGCACTATCGATCTTCTCCGCATGCGCAGTAAAGTTTCACATCACTGGGGAGTTTGTCCCACCCCAAAAGTATATATAGTAGGGCATATCTACTAACTTACAATCTAACTTATTAACTAATACATTTGCTACTTTGGGCCTATTCTAGTTATTACACAGTAGTTATAATGTTTTTGAAAGTTTGTAAAATTGTTCTTCTAATCGCCAACCTGAAGTTTATTTTATAGTGGAGACGAGTTGCTTACTCTTTGTCGAGAAAACCATGGAAAATAAAAGAAACTGTTGGAGGCATAGAGGAGAGATACTCGTACAATATGGTTGGAGGCAGAGATCTCAAAACTACACTAGAGCCCACTGGCTGGAGGAATGGTGAGTGCCTGTAGAAATTTAAAATTGTAGACAGTAAGTGAAAATAGCGCTGTGTCAAAACCGGGATTCCGAGGGAATTCAGAAAAACTATTTCAAAAGATGGCGGGAGTTGACTACTGTGCATTCTAGTGGCGACAATTGGAACTCCTAAGAATGAGTATTTTAATTGCACTGATAACCGCTCGTGTTGAATACACTATTAATACATATTGAATATGTTATAACCACCTCCATTGTCTATTGTATATTCCGATTTAATCTTAGTGGCGCCCATTAAAATTAAGATTAACATTCATGGAAGTACTTTTTTGATATCAAGGAGAGCGGACACTACTATCGAGAGCTTCATTAAGACTTAAATTTTTATTATCGGAGCTCTTGATTAGACAACAATATCCCCTTTCCTTCCAGTTTGTGATCTTGAGGCCCATTGTATTTAAGTTGAAGTATTGTATTTATATTGAAATATGTCTGTCTACCGTCGACATCACAAAGCACTCACATATTTGCGTATGTTCGACATTTACTCAGCATTTACTCTTTGAGCCGGAAAATACGGGAAGTGAAGCAAAGTGAAGACGAGTGTGTGAAAAAAAAACAAAAAACTGTCGTATGAATTGGTATGAATTATAGAGCTCTGTAATATGGGGCTCCTGGCGGACAGTCCAGAATTAAGCGTAAAAACCAAAATGTGGTTATTGCCCATGTTAATACCCGTGACCGTCCGATCCTATTCTTTGTGACCCTAGCCCATTGATGATTAGTGGCTTTGAAGAAAGCCAGAATAATATTTTTTCATGGTAGTAGTATTGTGGCGTGACTATGTTGTTCTGTTGTGTTGTGGACTTCTTATGAAGACTAGAAACATTCTCTTGTTCCGAGGTATGCGCACCTGATGCAATTCATTTTAGGTTATGTATGTGGTTGGTATTGTAAGTTTATGCTGTTTTTGTATGCACACATAGGAGAGTTTTCTCTAACAACGAATCCTTAAGTTGTGCTTCTGTTGTATTTTTATAGATAATCCACCGTTATAACTACGTAGAATAGTGCGTTTTGCGGTAAGCAGTGATTTTTCTTTTAAAAAATTGTAATCCATAGACGTTGATTGGTATTTGTAGCTTCGTAATTTTCTGATCATGGCTGGTATGTTGTTAAGTGAAGCCGAGAAAACTTTCATATTGCGTGGTGCCGAAAGCAACTTCCGGGTTGATGGAAGAAAACGACTTGATTATAGGCCAATGGAACTTGAAACTGATGTTGTAAGTCATGCAAGTGGATCAGCACGGCTTCGTTTGGCAAATACAGATGTATTGGTTGGTGTTAAAACAGAAATAGACACTCCTTTTCCCGGCCGTCCCAATGAAGGAAAACTAGAATTTTTTGTTGACTGTTCGGCAAATGCTACACCTGCCTTCGAAGGACGTGGTGGTGAAGAACTGGGTACTGAAATAAGCAACAGCTTATCCAGAGCATATCAATCATCCTATGCATTTGATCTTACAACTTTATGCATTTTACCTGGTCAACAGTGCTGGAAACTATATATTGACATTTTGATTCTTGAATGTGGAGGAAATTTGTTTGATGCAGTTTCTTTAGCAGTTAAGGCAGCTCTTCACAATACAAGAGTTCCCCTAGTAACTGCTGCAGCTATGGATGGTGCTCAAGTAGAACTGCATCTTTCTGATGATCCATTTGAGTCCAAAAGACTGGATGTTTCTGGGGTACCTTGTCTTGTTACTTTGTGCAAGATTGGTGATCACTGCTTAGTAGATCCGACTGCCGAAGAGGAAGTTTGTAGTACTGCAAGCATAGTTCTAGCTGTATCAGAAAATGCATTTATCACTTCAGTTTTTAAAGCAGGAGTTGGCAGTTTTCTCCCCCAAACCTTGCATGAAACATTCAAAGAAGGCCAAGAGATAGGTATAGAATTAAATGAAGCGTTAAAAGCAGCACTTGAAAGAGAAGAAAAAGAACGGGAAGACAATGAGAAATCACCAGCCATCCAGCGTTATGGGTTTTTGAAATAACATTAATAAATAATCCACACACTTTTTACTTTTATGAATATTGTTAAAAAGGTCAAGATATTAGGTCATGCTAATTTGTGAAAGTCGAAGTAATTGTTTGTAATTATAAGCAATAATAAATGTTTGTGCCAATTTTTAATATTTTTTTATTTGGATATAATTTCTTTAGTGAGGATTATTGAACAAATAAATTTTGCTTTCCCCCTTTTTTTTTTCTTCTTCTTCTTCTTCTTCTTCTTCTTCTTCTTCTTCTTCTTCTTTTTTTTTTTTTCCTTCTCCTTTTCCTTCCTTTCTTTCTTTCCCTTCAAACACCAAGGTTTGCCTGCTTTCGATAATTTTATTTTCATATTTTGAGAATAGACAAATGACGGGGTGAGATCGTAATGAAACCCATTAATAGGGAGTTAAAGCTCCTTGATTTGAGACTTTCAGATAAATGATGCATGAACTATATTTTGTTGTGCTCATAATTTTGATGTTTTGAGAGTCTCTTGTGTTATTAGGTGATCTACATGTTTCTCCAAATTGTTTTTAAAAAAATATATGTCATTAATATATCAATGCATTTTGTTTACATTTTCCACAGGTTAAAATGAGCCAGAATACTGACAGGTTACAAGGGTTTCTTTATTTTGTCTTCAGTATGTACTCCTTTTCGTGTGGCATTCAGTCATAATTGTCCTGTGCAATCGTGATTGGATGTTAAAATTAGTCAAGAGTATTATAAGATTTAATAGCCTTGTATGGTCAATATAAGAATAATACTTTATTTTGGTTATGTGATAGTTCAAGTATCATTTTAGACCATGTCATGAATTGAGTTGAACAAACTATTGACTAATACAAAATTTAACTATTTAAACATAAATACATTTTCTCGTAAAATAGGATGACTTCCATGTTACAAAATAATGTTTAGTACCATATTATAATATACAAATAATTACATTGATCACAATCACAAAAGCACATTTTGTGTGACAATATATGGAATACAGTTCATATACAATCTAATACATGCAATTTTTTAGTATATAATACAAAGTTTCATATTTATATTTATCCATACATTTGTGCTAATAGATTCAGCATAATACATTTCATTATTTTTGTTAATTATATGCAATCCACAATATTCTACATGTCAGATATTAGTTTTTTATGTTTTCGTCTAAAAAAATGTAATGCTTCTTTTATTAAGTATTTCTTCAGATCTTTTTTGAATATGAAATTGCTTAGATTTTTTTATTTCATTTGGCAATGTGTTGAATTTTACTCCTGAAAGATAAGGATTTTTATCAGTTTTTTTGAGCCTTGCACTCCCAATGTTTTTGTTCTTATTTCTGGTATTATAGTTATGTATAACTTCGTTTTCGAGTGTTGCAATTGGACTGCATTAAAATTATGTTATTGAATATGTATAGCTCATGGACAGTTAGGAAATTCACTTCTTGGAATGTAACTATATAAGTGTGCTGCTCTCATGGCCCACTAGTCATGGGAATTATTGCTTAATCAGGGCATCAAAAAAACTTTGATCTTTGAATTGATGCAGCAGGATTTTACAATTGGGGAATCAGCAATCTGTTTTCTTTCAGATTCTTTAGAGGTGGACTGGAGAACGATAAGTAATTTAACTAGCAATAAAACTGTAAAGACATGCAAACTCGCTCCACAAAAAATTGAAATTCATAATTTCTCAACTTTGTACATAAATATTCATAGAATTATTGAAGTATCAAACTTTAAAATTAATCCCATAACCCACTTTTTGTTAAGAAAATGGTATTGGGCCTACCTGAACTATTTAATGTATAGTTTTTGATTATGTAAATGTTTCCTTAGGAATTGAAAACAAATCCATGCAATTGTTCAAAATTTAGTTAGAAAATGAATTTGTGAACATACGTTGTAAGCAAATGGGCATCAGAGTAATTATTTGCTGATAGTTAATGGATTTCATCAGCACAAGAAATATTTTACTCAAAAATAGTGATAAAATTGAATCATTGTCACAACTTCAGTCACTTTCATGGAGATAAACATATTTTTGCTCTTATATCGTAAATGCACATTTTCAGCCCTGGAAATGTTCCGATAACATACCTCCTTAAAATTGATTTGCTTTGAAATTATAATTCCACTGGGGTTGTTGAATTTTGAATTTCTTAAAGTGGGTGAAGTTCTGTTTGAGAGAGGATCTCATTGCAAAGTTATTGGGTTTAGGTAGTGCCCATTTTCTCAAAAGAAGTTTCTGTGAATAAGAGATAAGTTCTGCTATCCCAATAATGCAGAATACATGTGCTGTTAACATTTGTAGTATATCACACCAGTTACCTCAGAAAAAAAAAAATCTTGTGTTTTCTTTTCATTTAGAAAACGCCTTCAATCCCTGCAAAGACTATCTCAGGTGCTGCATTTTGAACTGTTCGCCACATAGTAAAGATTTATTTTCACCTCAGAAAGTTGTTTGAAGAAAATCGGTATTGACTAATTTTATTCATGTTAAGTTGCTTTGAGCTTTGAAATTACTTAAGCTAGCAGTACTCTTATCCTTTAAACTTATTGGTTGCTTATAAATATGCTTTGTATGCATTGCTTTGAACAGGTTAAAATGAAAAGAGCTTACTACTGTGGCATTTGGACATATTTCTACTTTATTTATAATTCACCTCATTGGATTGGAGGAGAATGTTTGAGCGACTGTTTTACGTATGGATAAAGCTGCAAACTCTGTGGGGGGGGGGGGGAGTTAAGTGATTCTTTTCTACTCAATTTCTGTATCGTAATGGCTTTTGTAAATAATATTCAAGGCATTAGTATAATTTTTTCATGTAACAGGTACAGGTTCATCCTTTGAACTTTTGCATTCCATTTAAAATCATTGCTATGTCATTGCTAATGTTAAAATGAAAGTAATTACATGTAAACTCAAATTTTGGTGTTTTTTTTCTGTTGAAGTTTTTCATTAATGTAATAGTTATTTTATAGTTGAAAATTCAAATTGTGCTGGTATTGTATAGTTTGTAAATGTGTATTGGTCTTGATTAAAATTTGAAATAGTTCATTTCTATTTATCTAGAGCCATGAAAAGTGAATCCAGAGTAGAAAAGTGTTCATATTACGAAAGTTAGTAAGTTGTGGGAAGATATTTTGAGGCATCTTCTAAAATCTTAATTTTAATTGGAATAAAAAACAGATTTTCAAGAAAAGTAAAACCTCTGTGTCCTGAAAATTTTCATTTTGTAGGTTATTCTTGCTCACTAATACATTCCATTATTAATATTTGGATGAAGTATAACAAAAAAATGATATTGTAAGCATGAGCCGATTTAATTTTTTCCCAAGAACATATATCATGATTTATTTAACTATGCACTTGATGTAAATCGGTTGTTCACGGTTTCTTCCAATCGGGAGCTTGAATGTCTCCATAGTGACGTCACTTGCGACATAGTATTTACCGATTGGATGAAAACGCAACAGCTGATTTGTCAAGTACACGACTAAATATCTCGTACTAAACAAGCCCTGACTCCCGAAATCAACCATATATACTCCCGATATATACTCTTTGAAATCAACCTTCATCCGTTTGGTCCAGAGAGTATTAGAAGTTTGGTTGCATTGTAGACTATAGTATAACTTATCTCTGTGCTGTCGGCTATTTACCTCTGGAGTTATCCATTGTAATTGAATTTAAGCTTTTCTCGTTGTTTGTGGTTATTGTATCATTAAGGAATAATTAAGAGCTATGCAGTTACGGAGGAATTGTTGACGTGAGAGTTGCTGATGCAAGTGGTTTTAGAAAGGGCATTTTTGACAAGTTATAGTCTAATTGCCTCTTGCTATGAAAAAATCAAGAGGAATAATTAAATTTGGTGTTATTGGTAGTCTCAACAAATTAAATGAAACGTCAGTGTCTCCTGTGAACGATGGTTCAGGTTTCGGGGTGATAGACGCCAAATTGGATTCTGGTTCTTCAATTGAAGGAGAAACTTCTCAACAATCTAATGACAACTACGAAACTGAATGCCTAAATGAAGTAATGGGTTTTGGAAGCTTTGGGAAAAAGTCTAAACATTTTGATGTTGAAAAGCTTGCTGCTCAAGTATCGGCTGCCGCAAGAGAACGCAGTAAAGCTGTCAAAATTGTCACTTCACAACTACCACAGAATGACGCCCAAAATATTCAACATGGAGACAGATATAAGAATGTTCACGAAGAAAAGCAAGAAAAAAGTTCTAGTGATGATGATGACGATTTTATAGGACCTCCTGTTCCACCTGAAATTCTCATGAGTTTAAGTAGTGGTGTAGGAAATCAAACATTAGACTCTAGCAAAGAAAGTGGTGTAAAAGTTGATAGAAGTGAGAGTGATGTTAGTGATGACGAAGGAGATGACATAAAAAGTAAAATCCCTGCTTCCCATGAAGTATCAATGCTGCATGGCTCAAGGGCTGTTGTAGCTTTGGCTGCAGATCCTGCGGGTGCACGCTTAGCCACTGGTTCTGTTGATTATGAGGTTAGATTCTGGGACTTTGCAGGGATGGATGCTACAATGCAAAGCTTTCGAACACTCCAACCATGTGAAAACCATCCAATAAAATGTTTGCAGTATTCAATTACAGGAGATGTAATTCTTGTAGTTTCTGGCTCTTCTCAAGCTAAAGTTTTAGATCGTGATGGATTTGAAGTGTTAGAATGTGTAAAAGGTGACCAGTACATTGCAGATATGGCAAGAACTAAAGGGCACACAGCCTCGCTTAACAGTGGTTGTTGGCACCCTCGTCTGAAAGAGGAATTCTTGACTTGTTCTCATGATAGCACATGCCGTCTATGGGATATGGAGAAACCTAACCAGCACAAAGCTGTAATCAAATGTCGAGCTCAAAATGGACTGAAAACAATTCCATCTTCCTGCAGTTACAACAGAAATGGTAATCTTATTGCTGCGGCTTGTGTCGATGGTTCTATACAGATGTGGGACCACAGAAAAATGTTTGTTAATACTTCAATGATGATAAGAGGTGCCCATCAAAATGGAAGTGAAATTTCATCGATAACTTTTTCATATCATGGAAATGTATTAGCAACCCGAGGATGTGATGACACCCTGAAATTATGGGATTTAAGGGTATTCAAGAAACCTCTTCATGTTGTTGATGGTTTGTACTCACGTTATGGCACTACTGATTGTACATTTAGTCCAGATGATAGCATCATTTTCACGGGTGAATCTGTTAAAAAGGGCCAAGATACAGGAAGGTTATTATTTTATGATGTGAATACTTTTGAGAAGCTCCATGAGATACCAGTAACTGACTCTCATGTTATTAAATCAGCCTGGCATCCAAAACTTAATCAAATATTTGTGGGTTGTGGAAATGGGACTGTGAAACTCTATTATGATGAAGAAAAGAGTATGCGAGGTGCAAAACTATGTGTTGTGAAAACTCGAAGAAAGGTAAAGCAAGTGGAAGTAGTAGCAGCACAACAAATTCTGACTCCACATGCCCTCCCTATGTTCAGACAAGAAAAACCTAAGTCAATTCGCAAACAGATGGAACGTGACAGGCAAGATCCGTTAAAATCTCGCAGACCTGATTTGCCTATATCATCTGGACAAGGAGGACGAGTTGCATCTTCTGGAGGCACCTTGAGTTCTTATGTCATTCGTAACCTTGGTCTCAGCAAGAGAGTTGAAGATGACCAAGATCCTCGAGAAGCTATTCTTAGATTTGCAAAGGAGGCTGCAGAAAATCCTTATTGGGTAACTCCTGCGTATTCTAAAACTCAACCAACTGCCATTTTCCAGTCAAACGAAACAAATGACGATGAACCTTCTGCAAAAAAGCCAAAGGTATGATACATTAAGCATGTATCTTCATTTGGTTTATTTTTTTTAATGTGAATATAGTGTTGTACTATAATTGCAATTTAAAATGCACTGTTAAGACAATTTGGCTATAAAGAGCTTCAAACAATGTCAACAATCTTAGTAATAAATATGTATTCATATATAATAAATTCATGAAAGCAAATATGTGTAATGTTTTTCTATAAGTTTTTAAAAATTGATTGCAAAGAAATGGAAATTTTTATTGCTTTAGATTTTACTTTATTAAATTTGATCAACACAATGAAGGTTAAATGTTTTCTGACCATTTCTTAAACTTAGGAAAATTAGTTCAATTTAATTAAAACAATAATACTTTTAACTTTCTCGTATATACAGAGTATAGAGAAAGTTATGTAATGGAAAATCGATTTCAAGATTTCAACTGAAATACACATTATGGGACCAGACACAGAAAAAATGTTTTATTTTTCCCCAAAACATCAGTCTGGAAACACCACTAGTGCCTAAACCATACATTGGATTGTTTCCAAAATTAATATTCCCCTGTCAATTTGACGTTTTGAAAAACAATCTTTAGAATTTGGGAGTACTTTACTTTACATGAAGCTCAAGGGATATTTTCAGAAGTTTCTTCTTTAAATTTCTTTTAAGAATAGAGTAAGAGAGACATAAAAAGGTGTCGTAGAACTGATTGTCATGGTTAACTCTAAATTTTCGAAAATTGCAAATATTTGAAGTTTTAATGACCTCTTCCTACTTCTACAAAATTAACAAGACACTTTTCCTCCAAATGAAATTTGTTGTCCGTAATTAGTTCTTTTAGTTATCTCATGAGATTTCCTCATAATTGGCTCCACGTTTATTTTTTTATTTTTCTCAGTTTTTGTACGGATAGTGCTTAATGTACTCTTTTAGATGATGTAAATGCCATTTTGCTAAATCTTTTTGACTAGTTCACCTGGTTAAAATTTATATTAATGGTGATTTGTTCACATGATATCATTTAAAGCACACATTCTCATAAATGCTATCTAATGAAGTTTTCAAGCAAACTCATAACTTTTCTGTTAAAGGGATCTAAATTCTGCCTTTTCAAAAGCAGGCTTCAGTTTTTCTTCAAACTTGTACAGATAGTACTAATTGAATGGGTGAAAAACAGAAGGGTATGAGTGACATTTTATAAATTCTGAGAAAAATGTGTTTATTTTAGGCAATCTATTTTCGTTGTTTTAATAAAATTTGAAATGCTATGGTTTCAAATGATGAAATAAAGCTCCACGGTTAAATGATGAATTTATAAATGGTCAGCTGTACTACTCTGGTTTTTACCCATTCAATTGCACTGTTTACGATGACATAAAATTCATTTTGCTGTATTCTTTTCTTTGTTCAAAAAATACACGAATGTATTTTTTTAAATATCTTTCATGCTGTTAATGTGCACATTTCCAGCAATTTGAATACATTGCATTTGTGAGAGGAAGTGCTTCAAATGACTTCAAATTGTGCATTTACACTACAGCGTAAACTATTTTTTCTTCAAAATGGTTCTAAATTTTTCAATGAAAATTCAATTCAGGGCCCTTCTTTTATAATCTAAAAGTAATATTTTATTAGAAAACTGGAAAACAAAAAATTTCAAAAGAAATAATTTGGGGCATCAATAGATGGCAATGACAAGAGGATAGAGCAAGAGCAGATAGCTATCCTAGACCAAAGAAATTAGTTAAGAAGTATGAGAAAGTCTGCCTTTTTTTGTTCTACAGTGTGTATATGTAGGAAGATTAAGGTTATTCAATTAGAAGTGGGTCTCGCTTTTCACCAATAATATTACATTTACAGTTAAAATAACAAACTCTTCTCTCTCAAACAATACTAACAGAACTAGAAATGCTTTTGGAAACCAGTTTGATATTTTCCATCAAATCCCAGTTTTGGAAAAAGTGTACAGGAGAGAAGACCTTGTAATTTTAGCATGTTTACTTTAGTTGCAAGTACCTGAAAACTGTGAATTACAAAAGTTCTTTAACTCAACAAGAGTACTTTATTATAAGGAGGAATTGTAGTCTTAGACTACAAATTGCGGAGAAAAAAACAACATTCATAATACAAGTTTTATGGATATCAATATTTTTAAGACATTTATAAAATTCAATTTTTCACATGACTTATGGGAATTCTGTACGCGTTTGCACACTGTCTCTGCAGATCCTCTGGGTTAAGAGGTAGAAAATGATTTTTTTCAATTATTCCTACAATAAATTACCTGGAACAAAAAAAAAATTTATTAAGGGAGTAAATTCATCTTTCTGAATATTTTTATCGTTTTCTATTAATAATTTTCTGATCAATGAAATTCCCAAACATTACATCACTTGTTTAATGGTTTTGTATGACACTGGTAATTTCCAACTAATTATTCCCATTAATTATTTTGTATCATACCATATCATCAGAAAGGCCGGTATGAAGGAGGGAAACGAACAGGCAGTGCACTTTCAAAGTAATAGACCCAATGTGTCCAACCCAACTTCCGAGCAATCTCTGTAATCTTTTCATCCAGTTCCTTACTCGGTTTGTCTTCACCAAGTTTCAAAAGCATTTTGAGTGCACGTCCATAATGCCGATTTAAAGTAGCATGCCACATCGAGAAGTATATTGCCTGGAAAGAATACAACCGATATGAGTAGATTATTGTAAATTATTAACCAAAACTCATTAATTAAAATAATGTGTACTCACTTTACTGTCAGTGGCATCTACAAATTTTAAGACTTCTCTCCATACCATATCAATACTTTCTAAAGCTTTCGGGCCATCACCACTTTCTTTTTTATTATATATGCGGCAGAGTGCACAACCTTTCTTGGCTAATGCTTCAACTAATGCTTGTTTTTGTCGTTCCATGGAACTGAAATGCAGAATTAATAAGTAATGTCAGTATACAATTGAAAAGAGGCAAAATTAATAGAGAAACAATCCTCTTCTTATGCTCATACTGGAGACTATTTTCACTTAATGATTTGAATTTGTTAATTTTTATAATAAATTGTACGAAACATGGAGTAAAATATTCTTCACAACAAACTTGTAATAATGTAATTATATATTTCATTTCTAAAAAGTAATAGTACCAGTGATATAAGTTCTAGGAAAGTGTTAATCTCAGCAAAAAAAAAAATTACCTTTTTTAAATGCTGCCCAATTTTACAGATACTAATCGCCTGTTCAGGTATGGGTTTGATGCAGCAAATTATGTTACAAAAATATTTATTTTTCATATTCTCCAACACAGGGTACATCTTAATAAACATATATTCTGTTATTTGCCTCAATTTCAGCTTTCGTTTGTGTGTACATTTTCTTATTTTTTTTCCCCTCTGTAAACATGTGAGAATTTGTCCCTGATCTGTAAGTGCCCAATTTGACCGATTTTGGATGTAACTTCCATATTGTCTAAGTTCCCTAAGTGTTAATCCCATACATTAATGTCACTAATATTCATCTATTAATGTTGTGTATCATTAAGGTTCATCTATCGTGGTATCCTGTATTAACAAGTTGGGAGATGATAAATTTGTCATTACAAAAAATATTCAAAATTGAAATATATCAAAAGTACTTGGTTTAAGATGCATTAAATTTCAGACGTCATCCACTAAAGTTTTAAAAAATTGTTTATAATAAAATAATGCACTTAAGTTATTTCTTCATTGTGTTGACAATGAGAAGCTACCAGAGTGGTATAAATAGCATTATCAATTTGCTTGTTTCCTGCATGTTCTTTATTAGTGGCTGCTCTTATGAAAGTGCAGTTGCAATACAGGTTTGTTAAGTTTTAAATGAAATTATCAGTAAAGACAAAATACTCTACTCTTAGCCAACTCAAATTAAAATTGATTTCCGAGACAAACCAAGTATGAAATGGAATTCTTTGATGGGATTTCTCTCCCTCCCCCATATTTATTTCAAATTAGTCTAGAGAACAAAAGCTGCTTTCGTGATCAACTTTCAAATGAAATTTATTGGATTTCATTGACTTTTAGTTTGTATTCTGCTTATTTTTTATATAAACACAATATGAATTATTTTACACATTCTTGTACTACACTTCGTAAAGATCTATACAAAATATTTTCTTTGTTTCTAAATAATTCCACGGGATTTATTTTTTCATATGTGAAATATCCAACTATATTTCTACTCCAGAGGTAACAGTGTAACTAGCAAGTTGTGTGAAGTTCTAAAATCTAATAACAATCAAACAATCCTAAAAAAACATGCATACACACAAACAATTCAAGTATTTTCTTTTGTAATTTGAAGGTTCCTTCTTTCAATACTATAGAACATAATTGTATTTTTTCAATATTTTGGTCTACTGCAAAAGGCTAGTAATATTTTCAACAATTAAAGATTTATTTCAGTTTTCCCAGCCCCAATATAATTATTTTTGAAACTTTTTTGTACTGGTAAGGGTTAAATACTACACCCAGTAGTCATTTTTACTGGATTAAGTACAGGATTTAACTTTTTCAGATTTCAATTTGTTTTGATTTCTGTTTGCACGTTATAGAATACTAATACACATTTACATAGTTAAAGAATGCAATTTCATTTGATCCATTTATAAATTCTCATCACCACCAGTATTTTTCATTATGTACAAGACTGAGTAAACATGACATTTTTCTGAATAATTCCCAGCAATTCAAGCTAAGTTTATTCAGAATGATGTTTTGACAATGGTATTTCCATGTGAATGTATCAGAACAAGTTTAAAGTTATTGCAGTCACTAGATTTACTGCATTCTTCTGAAGACAATTATATTTCGCATTTTCATGAAGAAATTGAACATAAAAGGTACACGAGTTTCAAAAATAATTTAACATTTTCGTGAAGGTCAGAATTTTATCTCCAAGCGACCTTCAGAAAAGCTTTTCCATGATTAAAATAATTTCTTTGAAATTTGCAAGTTCTGAAGTGGAGCCCCTACAACAAATTGGAAGATATCTGATCAAGGATCACAATTTTTTTGTTGGTCCTGCTTTACTTTTAAGTATCTTGAGCAGATTCAATACAGGCAAGAAATTAAACACACAAATACCTCCTTATCTTTGCAGCATCAGGTCGATTGTCACTTTTAATGCCAAAGTAGGCGAGAAGAACAGTCTGATTAACGGAATTTATTACAGTATCTGCAACACTTATGATCTTATTGTATGTTTTTGCCAATGCTGAATCCATATCTTCTACCATTTCAAGCAGTGGTAGGTTTGTTTTGTGCTCACTAGAATCCAAACACTGTAACATTGCTGTGTGTGCAGGTAAATGGTCAGGATAAGCTGTTGAAAGTTCTTCATACAAAGCTGTGGCTTGGTCACCCGCCTCTGTAATGAAATACAGTATGCAAAACATCCATTCAGAAAATAAATTTTTAATTTTAAATACAATTACATGATTTTATTTATTTTTGATGCATCACTGAGGATTTATTCTCAATACACAGTAAATGTAGTATACTTTTGCTATTCATTTGAAGTTTTGAATGTTATAATCAGTTGTTGTTGAGACACAGCAAAGTATGAAAACTGCAATCTGTTTTTCAAGAAACAATGGCACTTTCAGTAGTAATACAACTTGGCCAGATTTATGTGAACACAATAATTTAAATCATAATTCCCTAAACACGGGGCCAGATGATTTCTCTTCTTATACATGATACCACAAGAAGCAGACAACTCAAAAGTAACTTTTCGCAACTTTTGATCATATGCTTATAAACCTTGATAAATATAACACCAGAGATACACACTTTTACAATACCAGTACAAAGCTTTAAAAGAGAAAGTTCTGCTTTGAAAACTAGGTCAATACGCTAAATATAGTAATGTTTATTTACCCATCTGTTAATATTGAATAAATATGCCAGACAAGAAATATGAGACAGAAAAGGATAGGCAAATTTGGCAACCAAGGCTAACTAAGTAACAAGTGTAAGTTTAAGCATGCTCACAGTAGGAAGTAGTATATATGAAAAGTTTAGGCAGTATCAAGATAAGCCACACACTATTTGCAGATGTTTACATCTACATTTTGTTGAAAGGGCAGATTATGTAGTTTCCATATTTGTACATGTTTTCATGTTTATAATGGGCTTAGGGTGGTTACTAGATGTGACACTTCAACGAAAATGGAAATATTAACCTTTGCAATTAGTAGGGGGAGGGGCCAGTGTGGCTTTATCTTGTTACTGCCCCAAGCCCTTCATTAGAAAATGAGGTGGAAGCAAAAGACCCCATGAACAAAAATTGAGTCACAACAAAAGATATGGGCAGCTGGTACAAATGTGAAACAAAAATTAAGGAACAGAGACAAGAATACTAATGAATCTTATGAGAAATGATATGAAATTTATTCAGTCAATCCACGATTCATTTTACCGAAAACTGTATACTGGAAACTTTTTCAAAAAACTGGAACTAAATTCATCTACTCAGGCCTGAACAGCATTCTGCACTTTGACTGATCTCGGGAGGTGAGCTTGAGCAACTGGAGTGCATAGATGGGCTGCGTGGAAGGGTAAGGGATAAGACTCATTCTAGGAGTAGGGACCTCTAATAAAAATATGCAATTCAAACCGCAGTGCATAAATTGAAAGAGTAATTGCGAGAACTGATGGGCTGTTACACACGTTCAAGTATCATTACTTTTTATTTTGGAAATGTTTGTTGTCAATATGACAATGTACAAAACGAACATAAAGCAAATTGGACATATATATTTTAGTTTTATAATTGCTTGCAGGGCACAAAATGTAATTTGCTTTGCTACAATGTAATCGCAAATTTAGTGTGCTGCTTAAACAATTGTAATAATGATCTTTTTTGTTTGATGAGAGTAATACCAATTTTTTTCATTAACTATGTTTTATTAAATAAGACTTCTATTGAAGTTAAAAAAAAATATTCTTAAAAAAATCATAATTATTTTCTGCTCTAATTCTTTAATTTCCTACCGGAGTACATATATATTTCTAATTTCAAATCAACAAACACTATTTATTCATAATCATTAACGACATCGTAAAAAAGAGATTAAGCTCTCTGCATTCTATTTAACAACATGTTTGCTCATTGGTACCTCTTATTCAGCTTATTAACAAGGCAAAAAGATTACATATATGTTGCCAAACATTAACCTACTTGGAATTGCCTGTATTTCATCTTTATATCAATATCGATGTGAGAGACTGCTCTCAATTTCATTTGTTATGTTATCATTTGGAGATTATATTCTTGATGAAAAATCGATTATTAAATTGTAAATATTTGTTAGATAAAATTACATATACATATTTAAAAGAGGCCACTGCTTTAAAATATTGTCTATGAGTTACAAAGAGTATAAAAAAAAGTCTATATATAGCAGTGCACAGAACATAAAACAGTGAAATATGGCCCTTGTAGCTAGAAATATGGTAGACTGCCCATTTAAATAAGTGAGCAATTAATTTCACAGAGAGGATCATTGCATTAGATGCCCAGGCATTCAATCTGTGTGTCAATAAAATGAAAAAGTACATTCAGCAAAATTAGAGTCAATATAGATTTAGTTCAGGTTGACTGAGATAATATTTAAATCATTTTGAATTTAATTTACATAATTATTTTCTACGGTTTCTAACAAGATTTCAAACCTATATTACAATCAAGGTGGCTCCTTCGGGTCTCACCCTAACCCCACCCTAACCCTAGTCCCACCCTAACAAATATTACCAGTTTAATATGTTTCACAAATAAATATTGTAAATGACTAAAACAATTCGGGTAAGTACTTGGTACTACGTACTCATCTGGAAATAAAAAAGGAAAAAAACATTTCATTATCGTGATATGTGCCAAGTATTTGATATTTCCATGTCATCTGTCTCATTTCCTCTCTTGTTTCATTGCTTCACATGCTTTGGTTAGGTATGCTTAGATAGTTATATAATAGGTGATTATAATGTCTCGATTTATTATTTTAGTATTAATATTTTTCTTTTCATATTTATTAATGAGAATATGTTACAGCCAACATTTCAAGACCCTATTTTATGTGCACATTGTCTCTATTCCTTACAGTGTACAACAATATTTTTAAGAATTCTTCACTTCTGTTATATATTTAATGTGACAATGTCATTCCTGTTTTTATATTTTTTTTAAACTGGATTTACATTTTTCTACTTATTTCAGTCTTGAGAATGAGACTGAATAGGGTCTCAAAACGCTGGCTGTAACTGACTCATTTGAATAAATCTAAAAAGAAAAATAAATTGACTATCGATAAAAATTCCTGGACCATCTCCTAAGTTATTCTGAAACTGCTGACCCAATAGAAGACAACTATTTCCATCCATATTAGCAGTGAGGCTCTTATTTAATTGCCAAGTTAATAAATTGAAGTTCTTATTATTTACAAAGTATTCATTATTTTATTTTTATGTGGATACTTGATATTTTTAGGTTTAAATAATTTAAAGAATGTCATATCTCATAAAGTGAGTAAATTACTACTACCACTTCACACATTTGTTTCTCAACTTACCAGTTTAGATGAACGACAAATGAGACAATTATCAACAAATTCCCAGATTGAGCTGTATATCACTAAGGCGAGACAAATATTAATACACTATTTTGTAATAAGATTTACTTTGTCCAGAAATTCTGGGCGGTCAACCTCAGAATTTTGCAGAAATCCTTTTTTAGAACACACATTAGAAATACTTTTTTGGAACATGATGAATTGGTGAATTTTGAATTACAAAAAATGTTGGAACCAAAGAGAGAGGAGAGATAACTTGAAAAAGCAATCTCTTTTGTTTCTCCAAAACGCAGAAATAAAATCCAACGATAAATTTTTTTCTCTTTTCGTCCGTTGAACACAGGATATAATCAAAATCGTTCAAAGTCTCAAATCAAATGATTCAGGTTCCGATGGTATAAATGCCAAGCGGCTAAAAAATAGCTTAGATGTGACGTACCCAATTATCACCGAAATCGTAAATTTCTCACTAATGAGCGGGCAATATCCCTTATCCTGGAAGACTGCGCTCGTGCATCCTATTCCCAAGACAGCATCAACCAAAAACCCTATTGAATACCGCCCAATTAGCATCCTCCCAACTATCTCTAAAGTACTCGAAAAAGTCGTCCGGAACAAACTGAACAGTATCTTCGAACAAAATCACTTTTAAACGATCAGCAATCAGGTTTCCGTTCTGGCAGAAATACAGGAACCGCGCTACAAACGTCATGAAGACGCGAGAACAGCAATAGAATACAGTAATATAACTATTTTGGTTCTTCTGATTTCAGCAAAGCATTCGATTCAGTAGATCACGACATCCTGCTCACCAAACTAAAGATCATGGGATTTGCACAGCCACGTGTAAATGGTTTTCTTAATTATTTAACTCTAAGAACCAAAGAGTGGTGTCCGGTAGCCGTGCTCAAGGGACTTGAAGCTTAACCGCAGAGTTGCTCAAGGCACTGTGTTAGGGCCACTGGCCTTCTTAATCTATGTAAATGACGTGGAAATGCACTTAAATATTGCAGTCATCAAATGTATGCGGATGATCTCCAGATATATCTAAGTGGTCACCCGTCTCACTCGTTTCACTCGTACAAAAAATTAATGAAGATTTAATAGCGGTAAACAACTGGGCAGCGTCTTTAGGCTTAAATTAAACCCAAACAAAATCACAGTGCATGGTTATCAGCTCGAAATGCACTATGAATAAAATCTCATCTTCTCCTTTCCCTAATATTTATATAAATGACACCATTTTACCTTGGTGTTCTGAAGTAAAGAACTTAGGTGTAGTTATCGACAACACTCTCAGCTGGAACTCACACGTAGATTCAACCTGCCGTAAAGTGTTTGCTTCAATGCACTCACTGAAACGCCTGTGAGCACTTTTACCAGGTAGCACACGTGAGGCTCTCATCAAATCACTTTATCATGCCACATTTCGACTATGCGACTTTCTTCTGACCAACATGACATTCAAATTACAACGTAAACTACAAGTAGCCCAGAACGCATGCGTACGTTTTATTTTTGATCTACAAAAATACGACCATGTATCCGAATTTTTTGACAGAATTCGTCTGCTTACTCTAGACAAAAGACGCGTTACTACACTCTCTACTTCTTCTTTATAAAGTTTTAACCGGTTCTCATGCACACGCCTCATAAGTAACTTCAATCCTCTGAAACTAAATCGAGCTCGTGAATCAGCCCTGCTTTGTGTACCACGTCACAACACGACTTCATTCAGTAAATCATTCACCATTACAGCTATCCGAGCCTGGAATAAATTACCAGCGAGACTAAAGCATTTAAATACTTTCGGAAAATTCAAAGCTGAAATTACCACATGGGTAAGGAATAACGTCAACGTCGTCTTCAATCTCCAGACTTCTCCCCTTTCCAAGCGCCCGGTCACCGCCCCGTTAAAACCTTATATTTCCCCCTCTTTATTCTCAATTTCTTACCTCATACCTCATTGCTCTATCCTCATCTTTCATTCCCTCTCACATCTTAATTATGAGCATCATTACTTTTCTGTGTACCCTAATGAAATTGTTATTAAAATATACAAAAGTATTAGTGACGTTCAGATAAAATATACTTGTAGCTATCTTTGTACCATCAGGATATTTACTACAATATATTGGCATAAACAAAATTGATGTTAAGATACCAGTACTCTTTGTATTGTTCCTTAGTACTGCCAGTATTGTGTTTAAAAATTACTGTTGTTATTTGCTTACAGTGTATTGTGCTTTCTTGGTGTTAAAATTATTGTATATTTATGTAAAAAAGCTACCGTACTAAACGTAGCTTTCTCTAACGTTCCTCAAATAACTTCACTTTTTTCGCCTACTTCTTCTTCGTCCTTTTCTTCGCTTCTTTTCTCTTCCCTCTTCCTCAAACAAATTTTATTCATTTTTAATTTTAGACCCTTCCCTGAACTTCTTTTCTCTTTTACGAAACTTCCCTTTCACTACTATGTACAACTTACTCAGTACTATTAATGTTCGGCCCTAAGCCGCCATCTGATGAGGTTTTTCTGGGTTTACTCAATCGCTTAAGGCGTATGCCGGGATGGTCCCTAGGTTTGTTCTCCCAGACGTAAATGTACAGCTTGTCTCCCCTCTTAAAATGTTACTATTCTAAATGTATGTAAATCAGTGTTAGGCGGAAGAGCAGGCCCTATGGCCTGAGCCTCGCCATTAATAAAGACATTATTATTATTATTATAATGGCTTCATGTCCCCCCAAGAACTAATTGCCTTCTGTACCCTGATTTTTAGTTCACAAACCATCCCTGATACTTTCACATTTACTTACCCAATTTGGCAAGCCATGAAGTTTTGAGATCTCTAACAGCTTCATTATATTCATCCCACTTTGTTTTTTCTTTGTCTTTGGATTCTGGACTTTTATTAGTTCTTTTAGGAGGCTCTGGAATAACATACTTGAAAGGATATGTATCCTAAAAAGAAATAAACATTCATGTAGATTTACAAATTAACATCTGCTAAGTATTTCAATGAATATTAATACATACCACTTTCTTCCCAATCTCGTCTTTAGCATAAGTGATAGTGCCAGATAAAAACTGACCAACCGAAATTCCTTTTCCTATCCTACAAAACAATAATGATTATTCATAAATAAATTTTTCAAGTATACAAATTAGCACTACTGAATATATATTCTTAACTTCAACACTGAGGAAAAATAAGAATTAATGGTAAATAAAAAATAACATTATAAAAATTAAAATATTTTATCTTCCCACCCATGAAATAGAATTATAAGACTAACCATAGCACTCATCATATCCATATGCAAATCATAGAATTAATAATCATAAAAAATAACGATGAAGGTACTGAAATACGTAATACAGGACACCTAGACACATGATAATTTTGTGTAAATCCAAAAGGAAAGCTCAATAGTTAAAGCAAAGATAATGAAAAAAGATTTACTTGTCGTTGGCAAGAGGTGCAATATAGAAAGGTAAAATGTGTCCTGGAGGCAACGTGGCCCCCACCATCTTCTTTCCTCCAGTTGTGGCTTGTGTCTGACTAGCATAGACATCTAGAGACAGTGAGTTTGGGAGTTTCTGAGACAACAGCATCGGTTGGTCTGTCAATTTGTCAAGAAGCTCCTTTTTTTCATGACGAACATGCATTTTGATAACATAATCACCTTTATCCAATTTAACAACATACTGAAACAAAGAATTTTAATTAGCATGCTCTGAGATATGAAAAATAACAATAACTATAATAACAAATTGACAACATCATTGAAGTGAGGTCTGTGTGTTTTCTCTAACAAAATGGAATGTATTTTACATGAAAATGATAAATGAATCTAACAATTCACAATTATTCTTATCAAAAGATAAGAAGGCTACTTAATGCTCATAAAACACTAACATATGTCATGTGTATAGCCCATAGTAGGTCCCTACTCTTCCCCTTCAAAAGAAAACTTATTTAAATTAATTGACACAAATATCTAAATAATTACCAACATAGGTACAAAATTTAAAACACAATCCTACATATTATGATTACGTTTTAAGAAAGTGTGCATAACCACAATGGAATTTAGTCATTTGGTCTAGACAGTTTCAGCTTTGATATTCTGGAGTATCCTTTCTTTGGGCATCACAGCTAAAATGTAATAAACATCAACCTTCACACTTATTTCACTTTCACATTTTACTAATTCCCTATTTATTTAATATCTTTCATAGCTTTTAGAACAAGCTTTTAGCTTTTTTTTCATTTTATACAGGTGCCTCTTAGCAATAATGAAGAACTGCATTTGCCCTACTTTCCAACAAAAATATAAGTGAGAGACAAAGAGGGAGAAAGAGAGAGACAGAAAGAGAGAGCGAGAGAGAAAGAAAGAAACTAAGAATAGGCTTCTTGAACAAGATACAATGGAATCTCTTTAGTCTGTTCCTCGTTATCACATTTTCTTGCATTCCACATTTGAATTTTAAAGATCTGAACTCAAATCCATTGAATAACTCATTTACATATTAAACACTTTGTCTTCTTCGTGCGTTTAAGTGGCATTTCCTTTTTCCCTTGTAGCAGTACTTCTTCAATGTGTGTTGTTATCAGGGTTCCTTGGAGTACTTGAGGGAACCAAATAATATAAAAGAGTATTTTCAGAGAGTATCCAGAATATTTTCATTCCATTTGATTACAAACCCAGAGCCAGAGAAACTAATGTTCTGCTATTTTCATTCTTCATGTTTTTGTGTTACATTTAATTACCATACATTTGTTTGTCACAGTATGCTAGTTCGTTTGTTGTTTCTATTAATGTTATGTTAAGAGAAAAGTTTTTCTTCTTATCATAGTGTACTGAAGGAGCTGTGAAATTGACAAATTGAGCATTTTCCAATTATATGTTTTCCCATTTAAGAAATTTGAAATTTCGGTTTCTTACAAACAGAAAGTCAATACAAGGCAATCAATGACATTCATTACAGAAGGCAATAATCAGCTAATTATCTTACCTTGCAAGGATAAGCATCACCAGAAGCAATTAATTGTTTATTAGCATCAAATAACATCCATAGCTGGGATTCATACTCTGATTCATAGAGCAAATCACTCAACCATGGGCTGCAAAGAATTGAAAACAAAATTCAGACATATTTATTTTTATTATTCTATAAATTGTAGCTTTCATTTAAATATACTTCAGAAGTATTTTCAAAATATATAGCTTTTATACAGGTAACCCCTTTTTTTCCGGAAATCCAATTCTTAGCACTTTTGACATTTTGAATGCACTACTTACTTCATCGGTGTAACATCAGTGGATTTGGCAATGTGAAAATTGTATGTGAGCTGCAATTCATAAATCTGACGAGCTGGTGGTATTACATCTCTTGAAGTCAATGGGCTTATTTTTGAATCAGATGGTCTGGAATATCAAAAATGTTTGCTTAGTTTATAGCAGGTAAAAATTAAAGCAATAATATAAACAATAGAAGCTTGTTAGCATAATTTCCATTGCCATATTTTCCCAAGTAACATGTCTGATTTATAAAGTCTTCTCAATTCTAAACGCATTAAATTACTCATTTACATTTTTAACAATCTTACTAAACATATTTAGTGTCAGCACCATGTCCCCAATTCATGCTATTGCCGCATGGGAGTGTAGCAGCATGGTCTTCAATTTAATCTTATCACAGACTATTATATTCTTCGAAGTAGGACCTTTCTATGTGCACAAACCACTGCCAGCGGGACTTCCAGCTCTCATAAGCTTCCTGGAAGGTGGCAGCCGGAATACTTTTGAGTGGCCTGTAGTTCGCTTCCACCAAATCTGATGCTGTCATTTTGGAACGATTTTGAGACAGTGGAAGAGGAAAAGGTCTGGTGAGACAACGCCGAGACTGTAGGGTGACTGAGGCTGAGGAGATTATGTTGGCACAGGTACACCACATAGAAGGCTATGTGGCTTGGCACCTTGTCATGATGGAGCCGCGAGGAGTTGTCGATGGCAGGGGCAGATGAGGAAAATGCATTTCCTCAGCCATTCAAGAACCTCCATGTAAAAAACTGCATGAACACTTTGTTCTTGTGGCACAAATTTCCTATGGATCACTTCCTTTGAATCGAAAAAACAAATAATCATGCTTTTCTGCTAAACTACAGCTATCTCTGGAGTGGAGACATTGGAGTGTCCTCTTCAACGCTTTTGACCTTTGGTCATACACCAACGTCCATGTATTGTCCCCAGTAACCACATTGTTTAAAAAGCCTGGATTTCCACTCACTTTGCTGAGAATGTCCTGGCAGGTCAGTTAACGAACTCTCTTTTATTCGCCTGTTGATACTTGCAGCACCATTTCCTCACAGATCTTCATTTGCAATTTTTCGCTCACAATTTCATGCACTTAGGATTTGGCAATGCCAAGTTGTGCTAACAAGATCTCCCAATTTTTGTAAAAACATTTGAGAAGTCCTGATGTCTGATTACAGCATATCAAGTTTACATAAACGAAAATTAATTCCAAGTAATAATGAAATGTACACACCTAAGTACTTGAACAGTGTTCTTCAAAGTAATTACTGGTGCTATCTCTTCACATCTCAACCCGCTTCGTAACTCTATTGACATAATGCCATCGGCACCTTGCATGGTAACAGAAGAACCCTCAGGCCGAACACCATGAAAAGCCAACGTGTAATCTACGACAACTTCTCCTATATTTGCCCAATATTTTGCCACAACCATTTCCAAAACTAGTCCTCCCTGAAATCAGTTCAATAAACACATCAGCGCTTACTAATAAAAGCTCTTCCAATAACTACATTAAATTTCTAAAGAATACTCACTTTCACAGAAAAGCCTTGAACGACATCAGCTTGTGCTGTGACATTCAACATTTTATGGCACTCCACTGTCTTGCATACCATCTTTGGTCGCAGTTGCAACGTATGTAGAACAAAGCGCCCTGATTTGTCCTTATCTTTGCAATGAAGGCGCAACACTAAACACAACATTCTGTATAATACATATGTTCAAATGAAACATAGCAGTACAAATCATAACAATATTTTACTTCATAAATAAATTAAATTACATAAAAACACAAATATTTTCCATTAATTCAGTCATAATTTGAATTCACTTTGAAGAATGTGAGTGCCAAGGGATATCAATAAACTTCAGTCAAAATACCACAACATACTAGGATTTTAATACGTTTCCAACATATTAAAAAACTTTGAACTTCTCTACAATACAAATGGCACTTTAAATGAAAAGACATTACTGTTTCATCTACATCCGACCTGTCATATTTTAAATCAATGCAACAAAACAATTCAAATGACTCATACCTGCCCATGTAGCATCATCTGGCACAAGAATAAAGTGGCGATTTATAGTGTTTGGTTTGAAAAGAACATCTGGAAATGTTAATTCTGGAACAAATTTGTCCCGAGGAATTTCCACTGGCCGCACAACAGTGATAGGCACCTGAAAAACTGGGCCTTTCGTAACACATCCAACGTCAAATGCTTTAATGCTGTGAAAGTCAAAATTTTATAAAGAAGCTGAATATTTCAAAATAAATACATCTTAAAGACTCAAACAAGTTTAAAATACCTGGTAAAATGGACACCATGAGGTAGACCAGTAGGATCTACACGAACTGTAAAAATTCTAGCCATATTCATTAAATCTAAGTGAGAAGGATATTGAACCCATGATTCATTACATGATAGCACCAATTTCATTCCAAAATCAATCTTCTTACTGGCATCTGCAAATAAATTGCACTTCATTTACACTTTTCACCAATTGCATAAAAGTACTCCATTTCCAATGGATTAAACACTGGTCTGTGGTATGATATAGAATGCTATGTGGTGAAGAGCACTATAGTGGTGCAGTGTTGGGCAGTGTTTGCAATATTGAGCTGTTTGGTGGAAGTGGAGTGTTGGATAGAATCGTCTGGTATTGCAGTGTGATGTAGTATTAGACAAATCTGAGGGGTACTGGGCAGAGGGATGGCGGGACTGGACAGTTTGGTATGGTATTGGAGTGTGGAACAGTATTGGATAGTTTGGCATGATTTTAGACAGAATGGTGTAGTACTGGACAGTGTGGACAAAGTGGTGCAGAAAGGGACTGGGTTGGTGTGTGGTGAGGTGTGGTGTGGTGTGATGTGATGTGGTGTAGTGAGGTGTGGTGTGGTGTGGTGTGGTCTCATGCGGTGATGTGTGGTGCAGTGTAGTGGGTGTGGTGTCATGCAGTGCGGTGTGGTGTAGTGTAGTGTAGTGTGGTGTGGTGCAGTGAGGTGGGATGAAGTGTTGTGTGGTGCAGTGAGGTACAGTAAGGTGTGGTACGGTACAGTGAGGTGCGGTACGGTACGGTACAGTGAGGTGCAGTACGGTACAGTAAGGTGCGGTACGGTACAGTGAGGTGCAGTATGGTACAGTAAGGTGCGGTACGGTACAGTGAGGTGCGTTACAGTACAGTGAGGTGCGTTACAGTACAGTGAGTTGCGGTGTGGTACAGTGAGATGCGGTATGGTGTGATGATGTGTGGTGAGGTGCGTCAATGGGGAGGGGAGTGTGGTTTAGCATTGTGCAGTATGGGGTGAAAGGGAATATAATGCTGTAATGAGTCTATAATGATTATGCTTTGTTTTTATTTTGAAATTAAATTTTGAAATCAAAATCACTTATAATAAGAGTTAAACGATTACCCATGTTATCTGCATCTGCAAAGAATGGTTCTACATTCACAGTGTAATCTTTGGGTCGATCCTGTAAACCTCCACGTAAATGGATTCCTTTGCTATTGCTAACTCCACAAGAAACATGTAACCTGACATCTCGTTCTGGTTGATTGTGATACTGAGTCAGATGTTCGAATGCCTTCTCCACCTACAACAATAAAATTTATTACTGAAAATACAAAACCCACAAAAAACTCGCAATAGTGAAAATGGTATGTCTCAACAAACACTTTCATGAAAAATGTCAAAATACAGAACATTTGGAGGAATAAATAATCTTTATTCTTTACTGATACATTATTGCTCGTTATAGCCTTTGATATGGAGCTCAATATTCACTGCATAACTTACCTTTATCAAGACAATCATAGGGGCGAGGGAAATATGAAAACAGTTGCATGTTGTTACGTGTTCTCTTACAGAAAGAATTATGGAAGAGAATTACGCGAGGAAAATATGAAATGATAAAATAATGAAAATTAGATAAAAAAAATAAAATTATGTATCACAAGTGTTATCTGGTTCTAATGATCTCAAATTACAAAAAGGCCTCACGCATTTTGTTGCTGCTCAATCATTAGAACCAATAAATGCCACTGGTGAATAAATAACTATTAATAATTCTGGAAAATATAAGATCATAAGAACCAACATTTTTAAGAATGTATACAGTCAAGAAAAATAATTTGCTTCAACCAAATTTAACAGTATTGCTAGAAACAATCTGTCTACTAATTCAGAGTTTCTGTTGGGTGGGCATGCTAGTGCAAAATTAATTAAGGACCAGAGCCAAGTGCAGGAAAGAATTTGGCCTTACCACAGCCAAATGAATATTTATAAGTGAATTCTTCATAAAAATATTCTGCACATGTACAATATTACATTTTACTCTTACAATTATCTAAATGTAACATAAGTATAAATTGAAAATACCCTCTATTTTAAAATATCTCTCAAATGTTTTGATCTCTAATTTTGCAGAAATTATTTTAAAAGAGTGTGAAATTGTATCAGAAGTTTATAGTATTTTTCATGCATGAATACCTACATACATTCCGGCATTCAGACAGGTGATTATCATCCAATTAAATTTATTATTCTCATTTCTGACACCCCCCCCTTTTTCTCCAAATGTTTGACCTTATACATCAGCACTTTGATGGGAGTTAAGAAAATTATTACAACAGTTGTATCTTTCTTTCACAAATGTATACTCTGTAAAAAAGAAAAGTTTATTTTAATTCTGAATATACCTGAAGAAGACCATGGCCTTGTGCAAAGCAATCAATGGAATCCAAATATAAAGCTGTATTCTCTAAAGCCCTCTTCACACTATATGGTGAATATTTTAAATGCTGCTTTTCCAATCCAGACAACAATAATGCTGCAGAAAATAAAAACATAAAAGTAAATTAATTTGCATAAATGAAAATGCACTCACATACAAAATCTAAGATGGATAATTCTTTAAAACATGTTCGATCTTCAGTTTGCATCAATAAATTTCCATTATGATGTAGAAGGAAGTAAAGATCACAGCATCTATTAAAATACTGTACAATGGGCCCTTTAGTAACTATGATGAGTTCATATGGATAAACAATAATTTTGTTAAAAATAAAATTATCCTGAAAGTTACAAAGTTACATGTATAATTTCAGATATACATACATTCAAAAATCCAGAAAAAGTACATTAAAAACAATTTGCGCAAGTGCTTTTGCACTTTAGCTTTCAAATTCCAGCTTGTTTCCCAGATTCAAAAAAATCTCCTTTGCACATAAATACTAGCGAAAACAATACACTAAATAAAGCTTTGAACTGAATAGAAAATGAAGAAATGCTAAACTAACAAAATCTTAATTCACAATATAGACAGCATGTTCATGTGATCAATGTGCTTATTCATATTCAATGTTAGTTCTCTGATAAAAAAAATTTAAAAAACGATACAGAAATACATTTTTCAGAGTTTCATTTCAAATACAAGCCACCCCAATTTTTTTCAAAAACAAATGAATGAGTTACTAAAGACACTAAACTCAAACACATGGTCTCACCTATAGCACCACATACATGTGGAGCAGCCATGCTTGTACCATTCATTAGTTGACTGTTTCTCAAAGTAAAATTTGGAACTGATGTAATTGCACCTCCTGGAGCACAGACAGTGACTCCAAAATCTCCATCAATTGTAGGGCCACGAGATGTCCATGTATATGGCATTCCTGGTAACTTTTGTCTCAGAGAATACTCAGCAATCATCATATCTGGAGATACATAAGCACCAACACCTGAAAAATGGTGTGTAGCTCATTAATAAAATTTCAATTTTTACAACAGAGAAGATATATTTTAGGTCATACTATTTCGCAACAAATTCTCATTAGCAACAGTTTATAAAACTCAGTCAATTATAACTACAGTTATCAATGTGTCTACAAATAAATTGAAAAAAATAGGTGTTACAGCAGACCATACTTATTCATATTACTTAGAAAAGGTCTTCTTTCCTGTTACATAAAAACACTCCTAAACAAACATTATGAAAGAGGCTAAAGAAAATTATTTTAATTCAAAATGTTAAATCAAAATAACTGCCTACCAAGGAATTCAATTTAATCGGCTCTATTGTAACAAAAGTTCAATAAAAAATTGCCCCGGATCAGATTTCAATCTCTGTAATACTAATTAGCACCAATTTTTTGTTACTTCCAAAGTGTTTAAAATAGTTCTTTATTTAAACCACTTTGGTTTGTGAGTTTAGGATGCCATGAAACCATCCAAAAGTTGCTGTTAAGTGTGTGGTGGGTTGACATTTAAACAGCAAGAAAGAAACCTCACTCCCTTCCTTGTAAAGTGTTATTTTGGTTGCTAAGAAAGATCAGAACAAGATTTGGACCCCCTCAGTCTGTCTGTTGTATTATTCGTGTAACAAATTTAACAGGATAGACAGTCCCCATGGTATGCAGAAAGCCAAAAAATAATGTTTCAGTTTAATTTGTTTAATTAACACAATGGAAATCTCAAAAAAGTCACAGAGATTTAAATGTTTTATGCTGGATATAAATTTACCAAATATACAGGCAGAGCTATAGAGGTCATCACAAAACCAGTGGAACCTCACAAAAGTAAGGTATGTATTCAAAATCATCAAGAGGAATTTAAGGATTTTTCTCTCTCAAGAAGGTAATACAGTGTTTTATTCCCCTTAGATACTCTTGGACATGCTTGTAATGCAAACGAATGCTGTTTGTTTATTGATTTGTCAAAAGTTAGCTTCAAAGCTCTCCTCCTTTTGAGAATGGGATTAAATTTCAAACAGTTGCATTTGCCCACTTTATTAATATGAAAGAAATCTAGGGAAGTGTAAAGATAATTCGAGAGAAGATTCAGTACAAATGTTCTGTGAAATTTAAGCAGAGATCATAGGGTGATCGCCCTGTTTTCAGGTTTGCAGATCGTGTTCACAAAGTTTTGCGGTTTTTTGGGTGAGTGGAACAGCAGAGATTGTAAAAGAAACAGAAGAAGCGGCCTTCATGAAAATCTTTCCCAGCCGGTGTAATAAACGTTATGAATGTCCTCATCGTTTCGTATCATATTTGAGTACATAAATTTCAGGAGAGCAGTGGACAGGGGCTTTCTGCACTTAAGTGTTTATTGATTCGTCCAATGGAGCCGGTTGGTTGCGTAGGCTTCCGCGGCCGGAGTTTATGTTGGCTGGGCTATCCGGGACAAGCCGCGTCGAAGTCATGGTGGCTAACGTTTCGGCCAGCGTATTGTGGCCTTCTTCAGAGCGTACTGCTGGCGTACAATACGCTGGCCGAAACGTTAGCCACCATGACTTCGACACGGCTTGTCCCGGATAGCCCAGCCAACAATGGAGCCGGTTATTCTTCGCATTGATGGGATGCATATTTGACCATTCATTACATCTAACACTAGCGAGCTCCTCTGATCTGAGGTCAGCAGAACAATACTGCATACACTAATGTTATAATTAGGAATTAAAATAAGAAAAACCTGCATACAAACACATTACCAAAACAATTATCTTGTTACAAAGAATTTACTTCTGTCCTTAGCAATATTCTTTTAAGAATTGTTTTTTTTATCATAAAATTTAATACTTACCAATAATACTATTTGTACTTATATCTGGAGGAGTTCCAATGGTACATAATGCTGGCCCATGATTTCCAGCAGATCCTACCCAAACCACACCATGTTTATCAATAACTTCATTCATTAAAGTTCCAATTCGTCTGAAGAAGAGTATATAAATTAAAAAATTACGAATAATCATCTTCAAACAACAACATATTAACAAAATAGACTTGATCTGTACATACCCCGAAGAAGAAAAGTGAGCATGTTCTCCATAACTCATATTAATTACATGAATTTTATTTGGGCCACTCCGTTCCATTATTTTTATCATTGCACGTACAAGTGCTGTTCCAGTTTCCATTGATCCTAACCGATTATCTCCTGAATAATCATATTATATCTCTCTTAGTGTGAACAAAATTAAAATTATAAAACATTCTCAAGTTCAATTTTTTCACTGTGGTTTTTCACTGATGATGATGATGAAAAATTTATTTCCATTACAATTAATATATGTCAATATACAGCAATCCATTAAACGGTGAATAATATAAAATACAAATACATTCATTAAATAGTTAACAGTATTTTAAATGGTAACAAAATACTCTATGATAGATAGTAGCCAACCCAGAAAACAAAAATTTCAAATAAAACAATAGACTTATTAGCGATTTCAACATTTTTAAGACTCTTAACTGGACATTTTAGAAAACTTGATTAAATTTAACTGAGTTGTGATCAACTCACATGATAACGAACATCACACAGTTAACATAACATGTCTACCATTACATATCAAAACATTACATCATCAGAAATGTATCTATTGTAACTCACACAAATAACATAAATCAAGCAAAAAATGCTTTATAATTGACTGGCCAATCACAATGCTTATTGCCCACAACTGTTCAACTCCAAATCCAGCTTTCCATAGCTAATCAGTTTTTTTAGTACGAAGGTGGCTACATAAAAAATTCAATGAGAAAATATTACAATTCTCTTTCTCTCACAATTAATATATGTCAATATTGAGAAATCAGGTAAATGTTATAATTATACTCTTTTTTTGTTTTGTTTCATGTTTAGAATGAAAAATAGCAAACTCTCTTCATAAAACAGACATTTTATTTCAACAATTACTTTAAGTTTAATTCATTTTTTCATACCAATTGTTAGTGAAACAATTTGAGCACCAGGAGCTGCACCATTCTTCTCTGGACAATCTGGAAAGTACGCAGCTGCAATTGATGCAACATGGGTACCATGACTTGCTGTAAAAACAAAAGATGCCACAAACTCTTGCGATTGGTTTTCCAGAAATATCAACTCAACATCAAGAGAATTAAGATATTAAACATATTATTTTCAACAGACACACATTTCAGCAATTGAACTGATTTTACTTCTGACATCAAGAACAGAAACACATTTAATTCAATAACAGTTAAAATATTCAATAAACAAGTATAAAAAATCCAGATAATTCAAATTTTGAAATGTTTCATGAATTTAAAATTGTAGAAGGAAATAAAAATAATGGCAAAAGAACAAAATAAAAATGATTGGAGAAACCAGCACATGGACTTCATAATAAAAGTTTAAAAGGAATGTGAGGGAGCAGGACAGAAAGAATTTTATCTGCTTTTTAACACTTGTAAAACATAACTCAATAAAAAAAACAATAAATATATCTTAAATCTATAAAAAGCACAATGTTTCAAAGAAAAAATGCAACAAAACTTGAAGAAAGCATTGGTAAACCATAAAAATGCGGAAACTCTTAATATCAAAATCTAGATAAAAGGTAAAGAAATAAGTAACTGAGAAAGAGAATATATAATATGAAAAGACAATGATGGGAACAGAGACAACTGGTGCTAAAAAATTGCACAGTCTTTCACGTACAACTTTTTTGTTCTTTCTGTTTCTCTTAGTTTGGGCTAGCTTTTCATTTCTGCCCCAATCTCTTCTCACATGCTACCTATCAGCACCTAAAAGGTATTTTTTCACTATTTCTCGATTTTTCAGTCCTCTAATACTAAAATTGAAATAGGATATTTCAATTACAAATATTGTAAACAAGTAAAACCTAGTCCTATATACAAATGTTAGTTGAAAAATTTGGAGTCTTTTTGAAAAAATTACAAAAAGGGCATTTCTGAAAATGCAAAGGTCTAAACTCTTCACAGAAATCTTTCCAGTTTCTAAGAAATTATTTTACGAAATTGTACTTAGAAATGTAATAATGAATAAAAATTGTCCATAAAGTAAATATTAACAATGTGAGACATATAACAAAAAAAAACCAACAAAATTACATTTGTGTAATTTTTAAAAATTCCAAAAAAAAATCATCAAAATGGCATTAATGTCATCTTTCACACTGCATTTAGCATTATCCATACAAAACGTTTAAAGAAAAAATGTTGAATCATTTTTCAGAAATTGTTTTAATATTGTCCATATTTCCCTTAAAACTGCACAAAAGCTACAAAGATTTTTTAAAAAATGAACATTACATTTAATTACAGTACTAATTGTGGAAACAAATTCCAATTGAAGAAAAAAGATCTATCTTGAATAATGTAGTTGTACGAGAAGGTTCAAAAAATTTTGAAGTTTTCCAAGTTTTGAAAAGGCAGAGACAACAACGAAAATCAGACATCTGCCTTCTTTATAAGCATATTATTCTATACACATTATTACAGAAATTTTCTCGAAAAATTTGGAGGCATGTTTGAGGATATTTTTAAAAAGAACCAACATTTTTCACATAAAGTGCCCCCAAAATTTAAAGAATTATTTTCAAAATCACAGGGCTTTGAGTTGGGTCAGATCGATCAAAGACTATTCATTCTGATAGTGTAATATTCATAGTGATATTTTGCTTGCTACAGTTGTACACAGAACACACTTCACCTGGCTGTCATTAAGACATTTAGTATGTTTACAATTTTTATTAATTTTGCAGATTCCTTTATTAGGTTCATTATGATGCAGACTGAACTGAAGATTATTCAATTCTATTTTTGTGTCTCACTTTTTTTTTGAAATACTACATACACTAGGCTCTTTAGTTTTTAAACATTTACAAGCTCTGATGTTGACTGGATTAACCGTGTCTAGCAATTGCAAATTTCTCTACACATATCAGTATGCCTATAGGCCAGAAAATGTACATCATTATAACGTTCTAACCTTTTGGCCATTTTCCACAGTATTCCTTGACTCCAACTTCCAATTACTGTTCTCCAAATACTAATACCATTCAACATCAATCCAAGATGCAAGTAGGACTTGTTATATTCCCCCCTCCATTTGGAGGTCTTCCAAAAAGTATCCTTGATCCATAATGAAGTATGCTGCATTGTGTTATGCATTAATTTTACTATCTTACATGAATGTGCAAAGAAATAGGCACTTCAGGCTAATAATTAAAGTGGATTTATGCAATACATACTTGACAAACAAACAAAATTTAAAAAATAATATTACAACATAAAATATACTCACAGCACATGCTCACAATCTCCAACGTATTTCCATCATTATATACATTAATACTGTAGCTGAGCTGATCAGACTTTGTCAAAACAGTAAAATCTTGCGTTTTGCTATATTCACCCAAAACACGACAATTTGCCAAGTCACCTTTTTCAGATGTATCTACACATGCTCTGAAAAACAATGCAAATATTTAGTATTCAGATTTATAGCTCCTTAAGACAATGTTTTTCAGAGATTCATATTTCAAACTAAAATAATTAACTTTTAATATCTGAAATTGTCTTCAACTACAGGATAGTAGAAACAAATTCAAAGACTGAAATTCTTTGGCACTTCCTCCACACTTCCAATACATTCCCTGAATAACCTGAACATGTATACTTAATGTCTTTCCGCCCAATTTTGAGATTTGGTTAAAACTGTTGAATAAATTTCAAGGTCAGGCGAGAACACAGGAAGATCAAATTAACATGCAAAGAGAAAACAACAACGTTCCTTGCCCACCATTTGAATGTACAAATTTCATCTAAACATAGTAGATTTTGTAAGATTGAATGCAAAAAGAAAATTACTCTTGCAAGAAGTAATTTTCTTATCTTTATAGATATGAAAATAACTTCTTCCAAGGCATGCAGAAATTGAAAGATAATCATGCAACCTCCAGCCATGTGAGAGGTGAATGTTTCTTTAGATGTTCAGAAACATGGGAAAAATGCATATATTTAATTGTATTATTACACCTGTTATACTGAATTCTCATACTCGGCTCCAAGGAAGAGACCACCTGCCATTAAATATTTGCTACTCACATGAGTTATGGAATAACAAATTTTGATAAACTACTTTAATGTGAAGAACTGATGAATTGTATATATGCAGATACAATATACTATATTCCTGCGAAGACTGTTTTTATTCAAATATTTAATTTCTTGCAGTATTATAGGAGTGTTTTATTTGTGGTCCTTGAGCTGTGTGCATGAAATGTTTGGGAAAACCATTTTGTGGTTTTGTTCAGAAGGATCTTTGCTGCTACAGTACTAACATCAATGAACAATTAATATTAAAAAATGAGTTTCTACATTATATTGCCAGCATTACATTTCAGTTAGCAAACATGTGGAAAATTATAAGCGAGATGATATCTCCTTCATAGAAAGAGAAGAAATGTTGCACTTAAACAACAAAATTTTATGAATTGGATTATTTACTTCATGAGATTTTCCAGTTATTACTGAAAATAAAAAAATCAAGGTGATGAATATCTATTGAATCACAAAACTTAAATAAACCTATTTTCAATTGAATGTGGTTAAAAGAAAATAACAAAGTCTTGAATAGTATTATTTCTACCTCTAATACTATATACTAGATGGAAAAATATTAGAAACATCTCAACAATACATCTTGAAATTTTAGGAGTATCCACGAATATTACAGACAATCAAATGAGATTATTTTATTTACTGTAGTCATTACAAGTTTTTTGTGAGCGGCTTATGCCCGGTGTACAAGCATCCTCAGAATGACTTTAAATTTTTGGTAAGTTTCTCAAATTCTTTATACAAAAACGACATGCTAAAAACAAATTCATTGACCAATGTTTATGACAATATGTTAAAGTTTTTGATTACGAACTTTCCTTCCCCTTCATTAGTTCTTCCACCTAAAATTTTTCCTCCTCTGGTTTACACGAATTCCATTTTTCAGAGGAACGCTCTCTCCTCTTCACATTTTTTTAATTGTTTTAACACCTTCAGGCCATTCTGATACGTCCACTTTTCTCATTTATTATTTTTATCTTGGGGTAAGTATTTCTGGCTAGTGCTTGATTCTCACGATTCTGATTACCCTTTTTATTTTTTTTCATCATTATCATCATATATTTGAGAAATGTTTAATATTTTCCTGTAATGATGACTGAATAATCAATAATGATCACATTTGATTGTCTTCAATAGTTGATACACTTAAAATTAAATACACCATATTTTCATTTAAACAGTAGAAAATAAGGTAATTTTGTACTATGCCAATTTAAAGTTCAAGCAGTAAAAATTTAAAAAAAGGAAATGCACCACATTTTTCAGTGTATGCTGATTTTTGTTGACACTAAGAAAAAACTATTTGTAAGACTAAATTGCAAAAAAATTCAGGAACCATTTTAATGAAAGAGATATTAAGGTACTTTAACCCTTTCTCAACTCCCTCTTTAACTGTCCTAGTAGCAGAACCCTGCGCTCTCTATTAAAAAGGCAGGTTGGAGCAGGAACAGCAGCAGAATGTAATAAAGGGCAAAACAAATTTTAAACACAAAATATTACATAGTAGTGGCTATAGTATTATAATTTAACAACTCAACAATAGATTAGCACTAAAAGTTGCAAAAACATGCTACTAGAGAGCTGCAACAATGACTGTGTGTGCATGGGCGTGATAACAATGAATGAGCACTATGCACACAAAACTAATTTGGGCTTTATAGATAATATACAAAGCATTATCTTTATAATCAAATTTAACTAGATCACTACTAATAGTATTATCTAGATAGTATAGATATCACTCTGTTAGATCCACATGCTCTAGGGTCAATACCATTGCTATTTACATTTAGTAACATCTGTGCAGAAGGTAAGAAAATACAGTATATTTCAAGTAACATGAAGCGAACCAACAGAACAGTAAATCACTGAAGCTTTTGGATGTTGTATGAGATGGCACAACCATACAGCAACCTCCAAACAGAGGGACAAAGGATTGATACTGAGAAAAGTGCAGCTAACTGGGTGGACCATAGAACTAGAACTGGAAATTAGGCTAAGCCCCACTCAATCGCACAAAGGCGCGGAAAGAGTTAACATCTATATTTAGGCTATATATGATTATCTTCAACCAAATAATTAGTACTTGAAAACTGATGACAATATGCAAACGTTAAATAATAACTTGGGAAGTGACATTGTTCCTGAAAAATCTCAACTTAGGATGTGAATTACTTTTCCTAACGTTTTCTTGGATACATCATATCAAAAAATTGTTACAAAATTTCCCCATCTAAGTCTGCACATAGTTTTATGTCTTTCTAGAAATGTTGATATATCAAACGATCAATAGCAAAAAGAGAAAATACCTATACTTTTCACAACCAATGACATTTGATTATCATGTTTTCTTCTATTTAGTATTTGAAGTGTACTTTAAATAAGATTTGGCTGAAATGTAGTATACTGTACAACCTAAGGAAATCGTATAAACCGGCACTTCACACCGTTCTGGCATTAACTAGGCAGTTAGAACTCTGGAGCCTTTCTTGAAAAGTGATGTCTTATAAAAGTGAATTGGTAATTATGCATTGGATAGACTCAAGGATGTTTATAGTGAACGCGAGGGCCGAAGGCCCGAGCCTCGCCATGACTTGGACCCGGGTGAGCGAAGTGAGAAAACTTCCCTTTGAAAGTAAATTGGTGTTACAGTGCGGCGGGGACAAAGCATATGAAGGGTGAACCATGAAAATCGCCTATTGATTAGTTTTATTCATTTCTTTTAGAGCATGTGCAGTAATTAAGGCTTAAACCCTGCCGCCATGCTTATCTGCGTGTGTACCGTATACTAAACTATAACCGATTTATTTTCCCAACATTGTCCAAATTCAAATTAATGAAATATATAACAGAACTCAAATGTTGTGATTAATATAACGTTTATCATTAATATTAGATTTAACTGAAGTCAGGGGCAACAAAGTGTTTCTAGCCTGGAGCAGGCAGTAAATAGGATAAATCCACCTCAATTACAATCCTTCATTGTAGTAAAATTGAAACACACTAAATGAGATTAATAAAATAACATATCTTTTGAATAAACAAATCAGTTTTTCAACTAATTCTACTAAAAAAATACTTGATAGTTCTGAAGTCCCCCTTGACATGGAAAGTTCTACTGTTTCTCCTAATACTACATTTAAACATAGAAACAATGTAATCCCCAAAAAACCAAAATAATTTTCTTACTTCCACATATGACCATCGTGAAAGACCACACAATCATAAGCTGGTCCCACATCAAAATACTTTTTTTCCATGGTATTTAAAACATCCACCTGGGCTTCCAAATCTTCTTTAATGAGTTTATCTTCATTAGACAAAGGAGAGGATATTTTTGCTTCAAATTCCTGCAAAGAAATGTTAAATAATAACCATTAGTTTTGTTCATAAAAATTATTCCTTAATATCCAATACAGAAAACCATTTTATTCTTACCTGTAATTTGCGAGTGGCTTCAGCCAATGCTCTTTTGTGTCCTGGATCCCACAACTTTTCCTTCCGTTCTTTCTCAATTCGCTCCTTCAATTTTGAGGGATACAGGTCAAATCCATTTTTTATACCAATGTGATAACTTCCACTAGGATTTTGCCAAGTAGGTGGAATCTACAAGAATAATAATTAGAAGACACTTAAAATAAAAAATTAAAACACAGAGCAGACAATTTGTATCAAAGAAAAAATGAGCAGTTGTAGCAAATTGAAATATTTATTTAAAAAAAGTATTACTATTAAGCAAGAAAATATTTTGAGAGAAACATTACCCTCAGTTTCCGACCAGAAAGACCTTGTATTATCCCATCTTTAGCTTCAACAACAGTGGAAGTATCAACATCTCCAGCACCACTGCAGTCGAAACGGTCTATGACTTTTGGTTTACCTTCACTCGTAATCTAAAAAATGTCAAGAAAAGAAGATTATTACTCAAAGTTACTGCAAATAAAAAACCTTTTCCTAATAAAAATACAAATTAATACTTAAAGAAAACCTAGAAATATGTTTGTCAATGTTCTAGTACAATAAGTAATAATTTCCAACAAATAGATAAAGATTAAGCCAGAAACAATGACACCATGACAATGCATATTGAGCTGTCATTTCACCATTATTTCACACTGCAATTTATTAGAAGTTGAAATAATATTTTCATTCCAATAGTTTTACTGACTATTTTTCAAGGTAATGCAACATTTTGAGAGAAATTGCAAAAAAAACCCTGCCTCAGTGCACACATGAATTTTCCTCAATCTTGGGTTATCCACTACTTGGACACCATGTCAATGACATGACAGGCATGTTACTTGATGTACCTGTAATCCTGGAGCACCTGGGTCAACTCCTGAATCGAAAATTGCAATAACAATTCCTCTTCCATCATATTCCGGATATTTATTCAAAAATGAAGTAACACCGGTCTCCTTCTTAGGTAAAAGTCCCCATACAGGAAACTCCAAATCTAGGACCTCAGCCATTTTTGCACACAGCTACACACAGCGCACCGCAGTGGGGGAATGCAGTAAAAATCAGATCGCTGCGCTAGTGATGCTGGGCACTGCACACCGCTCCTCCTCGGCGATTTGTGGTACTAAAAAGACAATCGTGACTCTTTGATCGTGAGAAGAGAACGTGAAAACGAACGGAACACGTAAAGCCTGCTGGGTACTTTTGTAGGATGCACAGCAGCGCACAGTGTGTGGATGTGGATTCAGTTCCCATTCTTTGCAACAGCTGAGTGTGTGTAACATCCATGATATTTGCTATTGTGTTTATTCTGTACGATATTTCTTATACTCTAACTTCATTATTATGACTTCTGACGTTCAACCTGCGAGACGCTGTTATCAAATCGGAAGCTTTGTTATGACTTAATATTTGTTATTGAAGCTTGGGATTGGATACGAGCGTTCCAGCTAATGGATCGTCAGACTGTCGTTGGAGAATATAGCCAGGTTTAGGGCAGGTTCCGTAGGGGTTTTTTTTCGCTGTTCTGGAATTGGGTGAATTGGTTTAGGAATCTGCTCTGTTCAGAGCTAGGACGGCAGGAAATTTGTTTTCGTGAAAAAGAAAGGTAAGAACATCCATTTAAGGAGAAAGTGAGATTGTGATAAGTTAATCAGCTCTTAAAAAGGAAAGTTTAAATTGTGTTGTTGTTCATAGAGAAGAAAAATGTAACCACTGAAACCTAATTTTCTTTAAATCATTATTTTTCATGGTAAACGTCATTTAAATATACTTTATCATTTTGCTTATGTCATTGCTAAAAATGGTAATTCTTCTTCTTATTATACGTATTATTTTCAACATCATCTTTTAACATTTGCCTGCAGCTTTGCCTCATTCGTTGTTAAAGTTCAAAATTGTGTGTCTGAGTTTCTGGAAGTAATCGGAAGGATAATTTCTTTGAGTCCAACTTGTGTAAGGTGACAAGACATTTCATATTAGATGGAACGTCCGGGGAGGGAGCACAAGACACCAAAATTTCCTTTTTGTGGCTGTAACGTATTGCATTGAAATTCAATCAACAATATTAATGTAAAATGTCATAATTTTATTCTTTGCCATTGTATTGGTTAATGACAAAATAAGAGATAACTGACAATGGTTAGTGACAATTTTCCTTAATTTTGAATTTCTCCTTTGTTTTTTGGTAATTAAGATCCCCTATAGAAGTGTTTTCATGCATGAATGGATTGTGGACAATTTGAAAATGCCTTTTCAATAAAGACCTTTTAAATATTAGGATTTATAAAAACAACTTTTACAAATACTGAATGATATAAGGAACTTTCTAAAGAAAATGTATTTGCCAGAATAATACCAATGAATGTACTAAGTGATTCTTTAGTTGGAATGAATTGAATATGGTCTTCCAAATTCTTTAGATTTATTTATTATTAGTTTGCAAACCTAAATATTTATGACAAATTTAGCATCCTCTTCTGCTCTTTTTTATTGTATAAAATGTATCACTGCATGTTCATTGGCCAAAAAAAAAACAATATTTCTAGGGACTATTATTCATGGCTCAGGCAATTGAAACCTTCACAATGAAACTAGTTGATCTTTGAATCTTTTTAGAGAGTAAAAGCACTGGATGTATCCATGATCCTCAGGTAGACTGTCTGAACTTACCATTTACTTTATCAAATATCTTTTGAATCCTGTAAAAACAAAGTTATATTTCTATTCCCCCTCTCCCAAATGACTTTCTCTTTAGTGTGAAAATTCATCCCAAAATACCTGTTGCTCTGAGGGTTGCTATCATTTTCATTTTACTTTCTTATGGCTACTTTGCAAGATATCTAACAATTGTATTCTGTCCTTGTTGTTTTTTTGGTATTCATTTTCCCAACCAAATAATTATAAAGCTATGCTGTCCTGGATGGCTGAGGTGGCTAAGAACATATATTGACTCTGTTCTTTGGGGACACAGGTTCAAGTCACACTTGTGGGCATGGTTGTTTGTTTCCTGTCTCTCTCATATGTTTTGTCGTGGAGGGCCTCGCATCAGAGGAGCCCGCAAATGTGTTGGTGTCTAGTGTATGACTTCTGCATGAATATCGGACATAATAACCATGATAACCAGCTGTCGGTTGGAAAAGCCCTAAAAATAAAAATTATAAAGATAGTATAAGTTAATACTTCTGCATCTCTCCTGTTCTTGTTGTCTTATGTTCAACTCATAGTAATTGTGAAAAAGAAAACAAAGTGTTGTATGCGTTATATTACAAATCATTACTATTGACAGCTTTTCAGCTTGATAATGTTTGGAAATAAGCAATATAAATTTAAGAATTTCCTATAAGGTAAAGAAACAGGTTTTTCACTCGGAGATGTCCAAAATCTTTATTATTGTTTTTGTGTGTGTTTTTATCCAATTTCATGGTATATATTCAGGGTATAAAAGGTGGCATTAGACACTGTTTAACAAGACGTTAATGTGTCAGCAAAAAATACAGATTGCTTATTCTAGTTGATACCTTCTGATTAAGATATTGTTCTTTCCCTCGCCTCCTGAGATTTGGTTGAGGTGTTTATTCTCAGATTGTTGTGTAATGGTATCATAATTAGGATATTAATGAAGAACACAAATTTAATTGTAGAACTTTTGTGAAACCAAATTTAGTAGATCGTTGTATTAAGGTTAAATATTGCTGTTCTCGAAAATGTTGAAACAAGAACAATGCATTTCCATTCTAGATTTAGTTGCATTTATTTTAGAATAAAATCCCCATTCAAGTTCTCAACAGCAGCTCATTAGAACATATTGGATTTTGGGGCCAGTGTTCACAGTATTCATAGTGGCCACTCGCGTCTGAGAAAGTCAAGGGCTCATAAATAAGGAGAACATTTTTAAACCCTCAAAAACCTAGAAATATGCTTTTAAAAATATGTTTATGGCCCCAAAATTCTGAAATAAGCACTTTAATATGCAATTAAAATTAACAATATTTCCTCCTAAATTTCAGGAGGAGCATACTTGCAATGAAAAGATGTATTTTTGTGCAAACATAATACAATCTACCTTACTGTGCGGGAGAAATGTTAATATTCACTCTAGTGAAGTACATTGTATGTCTTGTTACATTTCTTCTGCCAGTTTTTAAAGAATATAATATTAAGAAATATCCTACATTTGCACAAGTATTTTATCATCTCTAACATCTAGAAAAGAAAAGAAAAACGCACAAACTGTGACAAGCTCTTTATAATCAAGGAAAGCTCACCAATAAATAGATCGTATAAAAAGATGAAACGTAATGAGAAGCTATTTAGGATCATGAAATGATTTAATAAACTAGCGATTTTAATAAAATTTGTGTAATTACACAAATATGCACCAACAGGAAAAATTGGTCAAATATGCTCTAGCATAATAATTTACATAGCATCCAATTCTAGCAAGATATTTCACTTAGTTATGCCCTGAAGCAACAAACAAACTATACAAAATCTTAGTAATCCACTCCGTTCTCATAAGTATGTAGGTGAGGCCACCAGGGGTGGAGCAAATATATATAATTTTTACTAGTCACTGATATTTTATTTAGACCAAGAGATGAAAGTAAATCAAAAGTGACAATCATCAATTGTGCATCATTTTACATTTGTGGTTTTTTCTATTGAAATAAACTTACCATAATTTTATGTAAAACCTAATTTAAGGTTAAAATATCTGGGCTTCTAGGATTACACTGAGTAGGGGTTTCACTGAATTCAAGTTAAAGTAAGGTGACTTCAATATTGGCCATTAATAATTCTGCAAAAGCCTCTGTCAGAAATAAGCTTAAGTGATTATATTGCTATTTTCTTTTCTTTTTGTGTGTTTGTTTAACTTCAATCCATGACGTGGTGACCTCCATGGCAGAGAGTCCTAAATATTTTTCCCATCGTGTGCGCGTCAAGAATGTTGAAGATAGTTTCTAGAGCAATCTTCAATATTTATTAGTATTTACTATAAAGCCATAGAAGTGAATAATGGACTATGATATAGATATGCATAGTAAAGAATCAAAAACATACATGTGTACGAAGATTATGACTTGAACTCACATCAATGCCAATCGAGACAATGAGACTGCTCTCATCATAGTGGGCTCAGTCATTTTCTTTGTATTAGGTTTTTGTTACTAAACTGTCTATTTAATTTTATTTTTCAGGTTTACCCCATCAGTAATGTGGTTTGAAATTCTGCCAAGTTATGGAATTATTGTTGCAGCATTTATGGCACCAACTGTAATTACCTATGGAATTAATAAACTAGCTTTTGGAAAAGTATGCACCACCTCATTATTCAAAACTTGATATAAACTCTTTTATACATAAGTAATTCCTCAGAAGTTTAAGTTTCAGAATGTTTACATCAATGTGTATTTTGATTTTTTTTTAAAATGTATTTCATAATTTGTTTGTTTGTTTTCTTCTTCTTTCTTTCTTTCTTCTTTCTTCATATATTTATAACTTCTTGTATTGCTTCTGTAGCCATTCAGGAGAAATCTACGCTATGAATTTGAACGGTTGTCTTACATGCGAGACCAACGGCTCACAGGAAATGCTTACAAAGTCCAGGTCAGTATTTTTTTTGTGTTAATTGTTCTCTCACAATATCATTGTATTTCTGGTACTAAAGATCTATTCATCCATTGAAGAATCATAACATTTTATTAACATTTCCAAAACTATGCACCGCACAAGTGTTTAAAATGAGTATTACAGTTTAAAATGAGTATTACATTAATTGGTCCAGTGGTCTCTTAAAAGAAGAATTTAAATAAAGAATTTGCTGATCAGGGGCTGATTTGGCCGATCGTTTTGAGAAGGCTGTCGTAGATTTGTTACATTATAAACATATTGGTTGTTTTGTTGTATATCATTTATGTACTGTAGATATGATACTGTACAATATTTTTGTTTAGATAATTATGTAACATAAATATTTAAATCACTTTTGCCAAATAAAAGAGGGTAAACGAGAACTCAAGGCATGACCCCATGCCCCCCTCACACATACACATACGCCGATCCACCAGTGTTGCCGATCTACTTTTCCTGTTCATTGCTTGTGTAATGAAAAGAAATTATTTACTGTGGTGGAAAAAAAGAGGAAACAAACCATTGGGTTCTCCTGTTTTAAAAAGTTTGTGTGTTCGAAATTTCTCTGTCTCAATACGTATAATAAAGTCTCTCCAGGAAAGTATTTAAAAGATTACTCAGATGAGATTTTTCTCCAAGCACTGGAATTGCTTTTCAATTTCTCATTTTTGTACATGTATATAGAGTAATATACAGAATAACATACATAGTATAGAGGATGTTGAAGGAATTCAATTTCAAGATTTCGAAAGAAATAAAAGTTTGGGGGTTCCATGCCAAAAAAAGTATTGTTGTTGTTTATCAAATCATCTGGCCATCCATCATTGTTCATCTGGCCTATGAACAATCGCCTAAACTAGTCATAGGATTTTTGCAAAAATCTAGCCGAACTCGAAGCCCCTCAATGTTTTGAAAATTTATTTAATTTGAAAATCAGTGTGGTTGTGTGTTGACATCTGAATTCTTAGAGTTAAAATTTATGAATTTTGCAGCAGCACTAATGAGCGTTGATACAGTCTGAAAATACTTCCATTTTGTTCTCGCTATTATTGACATTCCGAGTCATATAGTGTAGAGAAGAGGTAGGTATAAATTTATCTCTAGAATTTGGATTTTAGAAGGTTTGTTCCAACATCTGCTGGTGTCGTTACCTGAATAGCTTAATGTTACAGTCCTTACACTCCTTAATGTCACAGATGTTAAGCAACTGAAGAAAACATGGATTTCTGAGTAGGTTACTGCCTGCGAATAATTTGGAGACCTTTGATCAAATTGCCAAAACATACTCCAATTTAGATCTTACAACCGAAAAGATAAATGATTTAAGGTAGCTGATTGACTAGATTTTCCTTCCCAGTGTTGTTAAAAAAAAACAAGGATTTTATTAACAATCGGTTTGAGTCTCAATACAAGGTTTGAAAGATGGTTGTCATTAAAAATTAATACCCAGTTCCTTTACCATATTGACTGATAGCTAAGCACCATCGCTGAGTGAATACGTAAAGGTTATCTTTTTAGTTCAATAGACAGATATGACCTTACATTTATCTGGATTCAAAGTCAGTTTTAGGTCATTGCAATTCCCAAAACTGGTAACTGGGTCGTTTTCAAGATAAATACAATTGTTCTCTGTGGTAAATAGTAGGGAAATTTTAATCACATTATCATACATAAGAATAGAGTAAAATACACTCATAAAGGTGACAAATTTTCCATTTTCAGGATTAACTTCGAATTTTCAAAAATTTAAAACTTTTTCAGGCGTCTTCCTACAACTGCTAAATCGAAGATAGAGATTTTCCTTTCAAATAGAATTTGCTCTCCATTGCGAGTCTCCTTAAGGTTATGTACATATTTTTGAAAAGTTTAGAAGTGTTCACGCAACATTTGGTACAATGTGTGGAAATTTTAAAAGATAATAGAAACAAAATTTTCTCAAACTCTTCTTTCAATTTTTTCTTTAAACTTTTGGTAAGGATAGTACTAAATCCACTCTTATAAGATGACATAAACGCTATATTGCTTTTTTCTTCTTTTTTTTCCTCTCAAAAAAGCCATAAATGTAACTTTTTTTACTCGTCTCTCACAATAATATTTATATTAGTAGCAATTTTAATACATTATTTTACATGTGCTTTACATAATATCAGATGAAGTTTCCTCAAAACATAACAGTATTTTGTGAAAACAAGTTCAAAATTCATACATTTTCAGAAATTCTCCAACGCTTTTTAAATTTTTATTATTATTATTATTATTATTATTATTATTATTATTATTATTATTATTATTATAATTATTACTCCAAATTTGCTTCAAATTTTTGAAACAGATAGTGCTGATTGCTCTTTTTAATATGACATAAAGTTCTTTTGGAGTATTTTTTGTTTTCAAAAATTACACAAATGTAATTTTTTTGAAATATTTCTCACATTGTTAATATGCACTTTTCTAGCCATTTATAAACACTATTGTATTTGTGTGTTAGTGCTTTAAATGACTTCTAATGTCGTTCTTCGAAAATTTAAAAATTTTCTCTGAAAGAGTGTTTCAAATTTTGAATTTATGTTTTAGTATCCTTAAAAAAAAGTGCTCTAAATTTTTCGAAGCAAATTGTCAGTACAAGATTTTACTGTTCTTTAATATACTTAAAATAATAATTCTATTTTACTATTAGAAATCTGAAAAATTAAGAAAATTTCAAAAAAATTAACTTTGGAAGGCAATAGATGGCAGCTGGCAATATGTGGCAAGTCCGAATAGCTAGTCAAGATCCAAGGATATAGAAAACATATATGGGAAAGTCTGCTATTCGGTAGCTCCACTAGTTAAGAGAAATAGGCTTTTGATTGACGAATTAACAGATATTAAAGGGATTGTATTCTTACAGTTTATTGCAATCAAAACGCCAACACCTCATTCCGAATTACTCATGTTAAGTTTCTATCTAGTCTATATATAATACAGATTGAAAATTGAATTCAGCATTGAGAATATTCTCATGAAGCCATGTTTCCGTTAAGATGATGATGATGTCCTAATGTTGGAACACAGATGAAATCCTATTAAAGTCAGATAATTTTGTATACAGACATCTCACATTCTGATGAAGTATGTGCAGTCTGGAGGATGGCCCATTTAGTTTTGCCAGTCCTGAGTGGAATTTGAGGGTTCTCCCTTGCAATTAGCCATGGGTGTATAAGGAACACCATTTTTATATCTTAATCTCCTTTGACCAGTATCACTATCTTCATCATGTTTTATTTTAGGCAGTAAATCCTTCAAATGTTCATGTTCATTACTTCAAATATTAGAGATTCGCAAATAAATAGGCAAGGCAATGGTAGGATTCCAAGCTCAATCAAGGCTTGTAGGGATCACTTGGATGGCATTTTTTCATTATTCGAATAATTTTCTTTTGCAATCTAAAGGTCTGGGTACTACATAATGATCTTCCCTAGAATATTATGCCACATCTCAGGCAGGAATGGCTTGTTGATGTGTTTTATGTTGATAAGTGTAATGAAATTGAAATTACACCAACAGTGATTTTTAATGAAAATGGTGTACTACCCACTGTAATTTTGATTTATAAAAGTATTCTTGACAGATCTCAAGATTATCAACTATACGAGAGTGAATTTTTTGAATGTAAAATTGTATGTTGCTCTTATACTGCTTGAAGCAGTGAATTTCATTCTCTTATTTTATTTTTCCTCATGGAAATGAAAGTTTACTTTTATTTCTTCCTCTCCTAAGAATTAGAATTTAATTTCTGTGTTTATTTTAAAAGTACTAAAATTTTTGGAGCAATTTTTTTATTATTTTGTAAGTTTGTTTTTGTTCTGTTTATAACAGGTGATTCTAGATGATATTGTGGTTCTATTGGTTTGTTAGTATGAGAAAATGTGGAATGTTTATTTTCATGTCGCAAGACTTTCTGAATTTCTTTTCTGTAAGAGATTTTCTGTACCTTGTGTTTGTTCAAAGACGCTCAGAAAAAATTGGAAGAACCTTGGGGCATTCATTAGTCTCAACTTCCAATCTTGTTGTCAATCATAAATAAATCATTTTTAATAATATCATTGTTATAGAAATGTAAATAGCAAATGGCCCTTTTTCATTCACCTCTGGAATTATTGCTTTGGCCCACAAAACATTTCTTTTTCTTTTGGGGGATTAATGTCTTAACATGTCTTGTAGACAGATTTGCAGGTTGGTGCAAAGCAGCAGATCATTTTAATGTTTTAATTACACTTACATACACTAAAAGTGCTAGCTTCTAACCTAAACCTGAAAGGTCTCTTGGACAATCAGGACAGAATAACTATACTTGAAAATGGATTGTTTTATTAGTTAAGTTTAGTTGTTAAACTTTTGGGTAGCAATGAGATTGTGTAGCATTCGAGAAGTATTGGTGTTAGAATTTCGTCAAATTCTAGTTACCTTTCTAATATGTTTTATTGTTTCAGGGGTTGGAAGCCATTAAACCATGATGGCATTCATATTGAAGATGTTTCATTTCTGTAGAAAATATTTATGTTAAGTATTGATGTACCTTGTAAAGCAATAAAAGAATTTATGTATACAAGTAAAATTGAAATATAAAGTTTATTAATTGTTGCAACTTCAATTTATAATCCTATCTGCTTTCATTTTCTCATTGTTTTAAATTCAGTGAAAGTTTATTCAAAAACAGAAATTAAGGAAAGTGATTCTGAAATTCTGCATCATCAAAATCAAATCTGCTAATTAATCTCTTTGGAATCCATCGTGTCGGTAAATTGCATGAAATTGTGATCCATGTACATTATGTGTAAACTCAACTAACATTTTATTTCATGGTAAGTTTTCAAGAATAGCTACGTTCATCTTAATCTCAGTTTGTTTTCAAATCTGTATATTTTAGTAAGAGTACTGAAAAGTTTTGTTGAGTACTTTCTCATATTCAGACTTGTTTTTGAAGCTCATGAATATTTCAGACAGCATTGAAGTGAACTGGATCTTAAGACAACAACTACTCTCATTATCGACTGTTTCACCAAGCATTCAGGAGGCAAGCTATTCTAGATATACTGGTTATGTAGGAAAAACAAAAGGTATAAACAATATATTTGGAGTACCTATCTGCATGTGCTCTACAAAATGGACAGAATAAATTGGCATCCTTCACTACATTATTAGATCTCCCAACAACATTCATTCCTTATGTTCAAAACTCTCTTCACATATCTATTGATTCATTTATTTTAATTTAGTTTTATTATTACATATATTATTTTCCTGGAAAACAAGTTAAATATTTTTTTTAAAATTAAGGCAGGCAAAAGAAAACAACAAATTGTTATTTCTGAAGTTTTATTTGCTGAGTTCAAATGCAAAAAGTGTGAAACAGACCCACTAGTAAAACAAGTGGAGATATGACATGGAGGTAACTTACAGAAAATACAAAATGTATAAATTGAATGTCAGTGACCGTCATTTAAGCCATCTGGTGCCATCTTTGCTTTCTTCCGAAGTCCACATAAAGTGTTACTAAACTTCATGTAATCAATCATTGTCACTCCTTTCTTGCTAACATAAATTGGTGCATCTTCCAGAGCCTGCTCAGCCTGAAAATATGTGACATGGTACTATGTACAACACTTTTTAAGCATCATACAAAACCTTTTTTTTAATAGAACATATAAGTAATTTTCTTTATTTTAAGAGCTGTGTACAATTTGTTAAGCTTAAAGTTATTGTTTATCATTTTAAGATTATTCAGATATATTGTTCTGGCAATTTTTTGATTCCCTACAACTGCTTAAAACTATTTTTATTATTGAAATCAGTTTGTCAACAGTAAACATCAGACAACACTCTTCCTGTGTTTTATTTCATTAATATAAGTTACATTAAACCAAGCATTTCAGAGAGGGCTATACTATGAATTCTGTCAAAACACAAACACTATTTTTGCTAATAATTAAATAAACAGAACACTAAAAAAGTAAGTAAAATTAATTGATCATGAGAATATGAGATTTCGCAGATCTCCACTATACACTATACACCATATACACTAATGGAACCATGAACATACCATTCAAACATAGCAAAGTTACTCTATCCCACAAACACATATAACTATGAAGGAGATTAAAAATAATATAGGCATTATAAATAATGGTAAATCATCAAGTTGGGTGAAGTATTATCAACGATAGTAGAACTGTATAATCTCCATCCTAAAAATACCAGAACACCTTATAAATAGTTCAATAAATGAATGTGTCACCCCAGATATTTTGAAAATTAGTATTGTGAGACTTCTGTATATGAATGTAATAGAACCGCTCACTCACATTTGTAAACGTGTATCTTCCCAGAAATTCTCAAAGCAAAAGTTTAGCCATTATTCAAAAAAGTCAACACTCATTATCTCTACAGACCAATATTCTTACTATCTGGATTTAAAATTCTAGAAAAACTTTTCAATGATAGACTCAAACATTTTCTCAGTTCAATGAACATATTGATAGGCCCAACATTGATTCAGGAAAGGTAGTTGTCTTTACCTAATGAAATCCTCATCGGTTTGTTTCTGGATTTATCAAAAGCATGCAACATTATTGACAATCACATATTTATCCAAACTTGAAACTTTGGAAATTAGAGGCATTGCACATTAATGGGTTAATTCTTACCTTTCAAATTGTTATCAAGTCGTCACAATCAACCATATTAAAGATAAAATGATTTCTACCCATTTTTCCCAATTAGGAGCAATCCTAGGCCCTATACTATTTCTCTTATACATTACTGACTTGCCCTTGACCATACAAAAGAACAAACTGGTCTTATTTTCAGATATCACAAACATTAGTATTAATGCAAATACACAACAAACCTCAAAAAGAAGCACAGTCGTAGTAAAATGGTTCCAGGAAAATAAAATCAAAAACACTGGTAAAACTGTCTCTCTAAACTATCGGAATCCACTCTCTAAAGAAAAGCCTCCAGCACAATAGATTAAAAACTGTAAAAATAGCTGAAAATAACTTTCTTTGGATTGACTATTGAAGATGATCTAAAATGGAACTACCATATCACAGATCTAAACAACAAGCTTACCTAGTAATGTTATGCCATCTACATCCTTAAGTCAAATTCTAACTTAGATATGCTACAAACAGAATGCACCCAAAATACGGAATCATATTCTGTCGAAGTTCCCCAAAAAGTATTCACACTTTCATCATCCAAAAATGAATATTGAAAACCATGACAGTTACAAACATGAGACATAGAAACCACTGTTCAAAAAATTACAAATCCCACCACTCCGATGCCTGTACATATTTGAAATATTAATCTTTTTGTTGAAAACACTTACGGTAAACAAGGATTCTGTTCCTCCAAACACAGAAGTTCATGACTGTGAAAAAGAAATATACATGTCCCATACAGAGAAACTTCACTCTCAAAAAAGTTCCCTTATAGAAGGCATTACACTATATAACAAACTCCCTAGTGAATTTGAAGCTTAAATTCAATACACACATTCAAAAATAAACTGAAAGCTTTCCTGTTAAACCATTCATTTTACAGTACAAAAGAAAATATACATCAATATAAACTAGTCCTAATAATTTTTGCATATTGTGTTGCATGTTTTGAAATCCCCAAACTGATTGTTAGATATAAATTATGGGCCCAGCCCAGGCATGAATCTCCTATGAAGACAATAATAGGATTGTATTAGATTGTTTTTAGTATGAAAATTGAATTGAATTTTTATTTTTGCATTGTATTTAATTATTAGAAATACCTGTATTGTACAATGTATGATTATGTACTTATCCTGACATGTCATACATGGCTTTTGCTGTATTTATAGGACAAATATATTATTATTAAGAAAGACAGTAAATATGAAGCGCACAACTATAGGCTCAAAACACTCGCATCTAACTTTGCCAAACTTTTTAAAGAAGTAATTGTAATAAGAATATGTAACTTGGAAAAAAGATGTGGCGAAGTAAGTTCCAACATCTTATTGACATTTTTTCAAAGTCTACAACACCTAAAATGCTTATACAAATGGACTATGCTATTATTCATCCACACCCAGAATATGGTATTGAAATTGGGGAGGTACATATAAAGAAAAAGTGTACAGAATAATGACACAACAGAAAAGGGTTATTAGACACCCTTTCAACTTGCAACCCAGGCGATATAATACAAAAAAAATAATATAATGACTGTAATAGCTCTGTACATTTACAGAATAATATTGCTAATGAAAAGAAACACCACTATACACTTTACACAAAATGAAGAAATGTATCTCTACTATACAAAAGGACAGAACACTTTCCGCAGGGCACATTCTTCTAAATCCTCAACAAATAAAGACCGATACAGAAAAGCAATAATATTGTATAATAAACTCCAAAAGTATATTAAAAAAGAAAATGAAAACAAATTTACAAACCTATCTAATTGAAATGTGCTCATAAAGTTTAAGTGAATTTTACTGTGTGATATTTTACTAAAAATTAATCAAAATGTGTTTCATATATGTGTGGTTGAATTATATATTGTGAATAATATGGGTTTTATATAATGATATTTTTCCAGTTCTGATATGTGATTTGTATTGTGTGTTACTCTAATATCTATTGTTACTATATAATTTCCTCTGTATATTTTCAAAACTTAAATTATATCTTCCAAAATACTGTTGTAAAAAATTATTATGACCTTGACTTTGCTTGAAATGTATGTATTGTAAGTCTATAAGCAATAAAAAATTATTATTTGTTTACTTTGTGGTTTGTTTACATAATTTATTTTGAATTGCGATTTTTTATCATGAAGAAATATTTATTTTCTTTTTTAATGTTTTTTGTCGATTCCAAATTATGTATGCCTCAACTTTCACTTGTTGGTGGGATACACTCCCTAATATTCTGGAGGTTCATGTCCCTTTTTCAATTGATAATTCAATGTAATTGCTTTATTAATTTCTAAATACATACAAATATTGTTAATAATGAGTAAATGAGAAAACATTCAAAAGATGAGCTTACCTCTTCTGGTGTGAACTTATCACCCCATGTCACCAAATCATGTTTAATTCTAGAAAAAAAGTACTAAATATTAGTTACAAAATCAAATTAATTTATAAATGTTTGCTGTTAAAATGTATGGCTTACTCACAATGTATGTTCTTATTCCGTGATATTTAGTAAAATCAAATAATTTTTGCAAAGATTAAACAAAATTATAAAAATTAAAAAAATATATAGCTTCTAATTCATAGCATTAGAGGTGTTTGCTTTCTTCTGTGTATTTGTAAATTACATGCTTTCCTTCATTATCATTTTAATGAAAATTTAGTGCAAGGAGGACGAACTGGGTTCAGATCCTTTGCCCTAGCCACCGTAAAATTTCTATTAACCAAAAGGGAGAAATTTGAATTTGTGAAAAAAGGATTTCTTAAGACAACTTTTCATTATTTCTACAGAAATACGTGGGTTTTTTAGGAGCATACTCTTAGGTGCATAGAAACCAACATTCTTTCTGGCATTTACATGAATCGTTACAATGTGATTCATCAGACTAAAGATAATTCAATCTATTTTAAAATGAATCAAAAATTTAAATAAGTTTTTTATCAATACTTTTTTATGTAACTTCTATGCTTGACAATGGGCAAGGCAGACAACTGTCATATAATTTAAAATTTATTTTAATTATGAACTTGCTAAATAACAATTAAAATGTTTTAATACAAAAATACCTGCCAAAGGGAATGTGCTAAGCCAGTATTTAAATGAAAATAATAGTTGAAGGAATGCATTGTATTAAAACTCAAGAATCTGGATTCGATTCGTAACATATTAAGTTTTATTTCAAAACCCCATTTTTGCAGAGTAATGTTGTTGGCTTGGCGACATAACGCAGAAGATTCAGTTTCCATTTCCGCCAATATTGAAAGGAAACAAGGTCTTAGACAAGAATCAGTTGTTAATCAGAATTACAAAAATGATGTAATTGCATCACAATTCTGAATGAGAATCAGTTAAATATGCTAATTATTTTAATTGTCGATTAATGAAGATTTTTCATTCATTAAAGGTATATTTCACCAGAGTATTGAGGAACATTCAAAATGCTTCATAAAAATTTGTCTCACACTTATTTTTCAAGGAAACATGAAAATGATTTAGAAAATTTACAATTCCGAGGTCCAGTGTGAGTGATCAAATTTCGAAATCTTGCAACATTCTGAGAAGAATCATAGATTAAATAAAATTAATAGATAAGCATGGATTAAGTTACCAATTTGAATGTATTGTAAATAAATAGAATGCTTGTTTGCAACAACTTTATTAAAGGTAATAAAATGTTGCATGATTTGAATGCTTATGATAGAGGAATTATAATAGCAGTATCAAAAACTACTGTAACTGTTATCAACCAAGTCAAAAAGTATATCAGAGAAAGCTAAGCACTACTGGAGATACTGGCTAGAAGTAAAAAATGCAGCTTTGGTCAAAATGTGTAGTGCCCATTAGAATTCAGAATCTGAATGACACATCCAAATAATTGACCTGTTAAATTTCTAAAGGGCCAGTAGTAAGTAGCTGTATGGAAGATAACATGTTATTTCAATAATAAAATCAATTATATTTATTAATTGTATCTTTTAAGTTGTAATTTCATTCACTCTGTAATATATATTATTATTTCCTATAAAAATGGCATATGTAAATAAAAAAGTATAATAGAAAAAGGGACCCAAAGAGGCCCAGAAATGAAGTCCCCCTTTATGTAAGCTGCCCTCGCGTATGTACAGCATGACTTTGTGGCCAATAAAAAATCCTGTGATGATCTTCTTCGGCTCCGAAGATTTTAATGAAATCATAATAATGCAAGATACATCCACCTCTTTTTAGAGAACTAAACCAAAAGATGTACAAGTTTTTAATCCAGACCTTTCTGCAGTTACCTTAAGGAAAGAGTTTCAAAATTTTGTTCCTGGATGGGAGAAATTAAAATGTACAACTTTAGATTCATGTAATGTATGTTATTGTGCCTGTAAATATGTCTTTATTTGTTGTTAAAGAATTTTAACTTGCTGTAATTTGCTATCAAGAGCTTTTCAGAAGGTAAAGAAATATGGCAAAAGAAAGTACATAAAGAAGGAACATAAAATTAGCTTCCAAATATATACCAACTCTCATTTATACAAGAAGTTTGTGAAAGTAGCTTTTCTGCACTGATTTTATCAAAAATAAAATTCACAGAACATGTTAATAGCAACAGATAATGGAGTTGCTGAAGATGTTCACCAAATGATAGATGTTGTAAGAGAAAGAAGTAAACAAATAAATTGTCGTAACATGAAAAATTTTATTTTATGCTAATAAGACAGTACCTAAAATACAATGCTCATTTACTTGAATTTTTTTCAATATTTGAAAACTGTTTAATAATATATATTTTTCAAAATAATTTCAAAACTACAGTTATGATCAAAAACTATATTAAATTTAGTGGAATAATTAGATGGTTTTCAGGAATAGGAGTTTGTTGAGTGCAAGGAAATGTAATTTAATGTGATCATTGTAAGGCAGAGGAAGTTTAAAAAATAAACTTTATTTAAATGTACTCAAGTGGAGTGTAGATTTTGCCATGTATAACTCTCTAAAAGAATGTAATTCCACTTTCACAAGCTATGGCTGGACTTCCTTTTTGCAAACACCATTGAATTAAGAAACTTTTTGTAAGAGAAATGGTTTAGGAGAAACAAAATTGTAAACAAACAATGTGACATCCAAACCTATGGTACTATTAAGCAAGTACTTTTTGTTAGGGTGAATGAACTACCAGTTACAGAAACACACTTGAGTATTATTGCTAAGACTTATGGAAGTTATACAAACACAAACACTTGCAATTGAGTATGGCAGCTTCATTGTTAGATGGCAATTTAGAGTTTAATTTTGTATAAATGTATTCTGTAAAAACAGAAAATCATGACAACTGCTTCAAATAAAACTTACCTGTCTTCTGATATAAGACCAGAATTGTCATAATCCCAACAAGCCAGGGCCTCTGTTAATACAGCTTCTGGATCCATTTCAATAGTTTTGTATCCCAAGAGAATCACAAATGCATCAAAGTCAAGAGGACTAATTGCCTGAAATAAGACCAACAAAGAATTTAACTTTTTAAAAAAAATGTGTCAGTTGTAAGAAATAAAATAGAAATAAAAAAAAAATTGATATGAGTATAATAAACGTGATGCATATTATTAACTAAAAATTGAATTTAGATTACAGAAACAATACAAGAATATCAACAATGAAGAGAAGCAGAATTACTATGTTAAATATTCATGTCATAAAATGTTTGGTTCAGAATTATCTACAACAATGTGAAGAGGAATAATAGTTGTAAGTAGAAACAAGCGAAGGGAAATGCACCTATTGAGTAACGAATTGTATTGCGATATAGATCTTTAGACCTTGCATTGAATTGCAAGAACTTAAAATTTTTGCCATATCATATGAAGAATTATTGAGTTATGTTCCAATTTTTTTGCATTTTAGAGAGCTTTTATTAATTGAAGCAATATTTTTTTTCTTCTCATGTATTTTTAGGTTTGTATCTACTTGTAATATTTGCTACTTGATTATTTATGGTAAAGTATGGAGGTCTTTTAATAATCAATATTTTAACAAGATGAGATTTAAGTTGTTACATTTTTTGTTTGATTATATTAATCTATTGGTGTGAAAATATTTACAAAAACTATTTGATGGTGAAAAACTGAACTATGCTCAAAATCCAATGTTTACTATTTACCTCTGCCAGCATATTTGCAATATCATCATCTGGGACATCAGGATAACCAAGTGTTTGGTATGTTAACTTCAGATCTTTATAATCAATGAAACCGTCTTGATTATAGTCGAATAATTCAAATGCCTGCAGGAAACAGTATTTTTAGTTACATGAATAACCAGCTTCAAAACACATAATAATTGTTATAGTCATTTTAATATTGAGAGTTCTGGATACGCTCTCATGTAGGTGTAACATAAGCTTAAGATCTACCTTTTTATGGAATTATTCTATCCAAATATTTCTTATTAGTGCATTTCAGAAATAGTATATTTTATAACTCACCTCTTTTAGTTCCATCAACTTATTTTCATCCAAATCCTGTAAGAGGTCGATATCTTTTTTCGTAGCAGCTGGAGGAACAACATACGTGCCTTCAATGGGTGGTGGTAATTCATTTGGATCTAGTTTTCTCAAATGGTCCTCACTTTCCTTGTCAGCTGATTCAGAGGTTGTACTCTCTTCTGCAGGTGGTGCCACAGCAGATGCTTTTCGACTAGTCCCTGCACCAGGTGTGGAAGACTCTTCTGCAGTGGAAGCCTTTCGAGCTGTACCTTCTATTACAGATGCTTTCCTGCCTTCACCAGATGCATTGGTAGGTGCAGGTGCTTCATCAGATTTAGAAGCACTTTTGGTTTTTTTGCTCTTCCTGTTGCTGTCTGAGGCTGCTGCAGATTCTTCTGGAGCCCCTGGTACAGCATTTGCACTACCTCCTTCTGTCGCTTTTGGTGGTTCCGTGTCTGTCAAGGGTTTTGCATCTGATTGCAGCTCTGATTCTGCTCCTGATTTCTTTCTGGGCTCTTTTTCCTTGGTGGACCCTACTTTCTTCTTTTTCTGTTAAACCCACATGATTTATTTTTAAAACATGTATAATTATGTTGGTGAAATTTAAAAAGTGATTATTCATTTAAAATTACATTACTGTAATAAGAAAATAAGTTTTAAGTAATTAAGTATAAATTAGGCACAAATGTAAACTTGTCTTGAATTGTAAAAATATTTGCAATTCCCATAATTATATTTTTGTAAGATGTTCTACATGTGAATTACAAACTTTTTTGGGAATTTGCAGGCCAAGTTTATCATGAAGATGGAACCATTGTTGATGGATAAATATTAGCATTATCTCTCATTAGTCAGAATAAATGTTTATGACATGTTGTGTATTATATCTTTACTTCAGGTGATACATGAACTTAGTAATGGTTTATCACAAATCTATAAAATTTCTCAAATGGAGCCAATACTTACTTTTTCTTTAGTCTTGTCTGGTGACACTACTTCTGAATCAGCCATTGTTATAACGATCACTTAACACTTGTAATGCAGTCCTAAAGGGAAAAGCAGAATTGAATATACCTCTACAGATGATGCTGTTGGTGTCCCTTCCTCCAGGCGGTGTGGCTGTTGCACAGGTTAATTTCAGAGTCCTGGTTTTTGAGCAAAACATCCCAGTTTTCATACTTCCCCCTCCACGATGTTATGGAATCAGTCACGCACACTACCTCACACACACGCCCACACCTTCATGTAGATGAGACATCCTCTCCCCTTCTGACTACCTCCCTCCTAGGCTCCCCTCCCCTTAACTCTTCTGCTCCTGTGCATCTCTGACTTCTCATGGTTGTCTGTTGGCCTTCATGCACCTGTTCGCAATATTAATGATTCCCATTTGCAAATCTGACTTTATCTGAAAGTCCTAAATATTTTTATGATTTTGCTTGACATAGCAGTGTTGATATTTTTATCTATATTTGAATGTACATAGTTTAATTGATTAACATACACAATTTTTAATTATTTCAACTGTGTATACAATGATTATGATATCCTAAAGTACTCATTTCTTTCATTTATTCTTAAAGTGGTGAACAGAATGTTGAAACATTTTCTGATTTATACCTCTTTGCCAAATCACCAACATAATACTCAATTTCAGAATGGATTGTTCATTTAAAATTAATCCCTCTCTTCTTTAGTCTTAAACTTGAATGATGATTTAGAATAGAATGCTGAAAAAGGACAGGTATTTTTGTGGTGAACAAAAAGTATAATTCCAAGAGGGACTACTGTCTCCTCTAATTCAGTTGTATGGTATCTCATAAAAAATCGTATTTTCTCTATTTTCTTTAAAAAAAAATACATTCAGTGGCTCATTATTATACCCAAATATTCATGTAAATAAGTGAAATGAAAGTGTATTGAAAACACACACTTGAGTGAAATTTCGAAACCTTGTCGGAAAAGGAATGTCCTCAAAAGAAAATTTCATCGAGATCAATACAGGCAATAAATTTATGCATGAAGGGGCAGTACAGAATTATTTTTATCGTCCTCTTAGAAGGACCATAAATTACGTGACTGGTGATGGACTGGGGATGCATCACTCGACCCTTTCCGCTTTTAGCTTCCACACTATTTTCGCCGAAACTTTTCTGGAAATAGAAGATTTTCCCCTAAAACATGCTATCTTTCTTGTGTGGGTGCCAAACTTCTGGAAATGTTCTCCACAAATGCTACAAAGTCATACCGCCTATCGAGCATTAATTGATTAGAGGAGTTAATTCGAAATCGTAAATTCTGGGAGGGCACTACGTTTCCACCCAACTACCCATCTCGTTATGAACGCACGCTAAGTAAATTATTGCATATCTCAAGAATTTTGGGGGCAGAGCGAGTGAGGAAGACATGTGCCTTTGGTATTGCGCCAAACGCAGGCTGCGTGACGTCCGTGCGGTCACGCATCGCTCTTCAAACGCGCGCTTCGCCCATCGCGCATGCGCGAGAAGATCCCGTCCTCGAGGACGGATCGTTGGGAGGATTCATTGGTAAATTAGGCTCTTATTGGGCTCCAGACAGCAGATTTGATTCTCTCGGATAGAACTGTTTATTGCAGTGCTTTTTAGAATGTAAATTGCTCATAAAATGCGAAAATGAGCCATAAATGGCCAACTTGTAAGCAACATGTTTTGCAATTTTATTGTTTGTTATAAAATATCATCTTGAATTCTCATTTCTTCTGGACATAAATGTAGCTTCACTCCGACGCATTTTATTGTGCTCTCATTTCATTAGATGCGAGAGAAGTGAAAAGTTGGCGATTTTAGAAAATCTGGTCTCGTTTTGCGATGCAAGTAGTTTCTATTACACAGGAGAGAAAATGCCTTGCTTTCATAATCCAAACAACTCGTTGCTATCTTTGATTCGGTGATTGATAATGTTGGTGTGAAAGAGGGGGAAGGAATTCCGGAACTCAACAAAACATGCTCGTGTAATAAAGGCGTAGACATATGAGTGAACCTTTTAATACAAAAAAAAAAAAAAAATTTCATTATTAGTAGTTAGCTTGACTTATTTTTGATTCACAACCACAATTCTCCATATTTCAAATTGTCATTCCAAAGGCTACAGACCAGTACGAACTGCCTGATATAACATAACACTTTTTTAATACTGATTGTTTGTGTAATATTCATTGCTAACTCCAATTGCGTTGAGAGACAAGATAGCGTCTTTACTGTATTCACAGAAAGGGAGAGATAACTAATGATCATAACACGAATGAATTATTGTAATACCCAATTTAAAAGGAGTTGATAAATTGCGCGCTTAGTTTATCCTTCTCCGTAAATCACAGTCTTTACTGCTTTTGACGATACGTAAATCAAAATTAAATATTTAAGAAACGTAAATTATTTTTTCATCAATTTAAAGTTAACATGAGTTCTTTGAATCACGAACAGAAAAGTTTTGACGATGCCCCAACTTATGCGACGAGGTTCTGAAAAAACAATGGAATATTTTCGTTGTGAAAATGAAAGATACATCGTACGATAGTGCAATAAAACATTTTGTAATACTGAAAGTCAGATGTTTCCCGGTCCTTTGTTCACAAAGCAATCTACGTGTTAAATTCGTCTCAATAATCATAAATACGTATCGTAAGTTTTTGCCTAAAGAAATCTTTCCATCTCCAAAAACCTATTCCGAAAGTATTTCATTTCAAAGCTGCTAAAGGGATCAAGAAAACGTATGCGGTCTAGCAGAAGAAAATCCAGTAGGTACATTATTTTGGGTGGCGGTATGTTCCTTTCAGTGGCAATGGGAACTATAGTTCCCAAGAAAAGGTTTCAGGTCTCCGCGTCACATACAAATACACACGTAGGCAGACAAACTATTTTTCTTATTTAAAGAAAAAAACACCTCACTAGCCTTATTACACGATTAAATGTACAGTCGACTCTGGTTATGGAGAATTTCTGAGGACTAGACGTGTTGGTTCACTACATCCGGAAGTGCGAAATTAAACTAATCCTTGATGATTGATTTAGTAATTTCAGAGGTTCAGTGAAATATCTTATCATAGCAAATTCTGATTTTCAATATATTCATTCATCCTTAAAAAATGTGTAATGATATTAATGAAAGAACTAATTGTGGATAACAAATTTCATTTGAAGGAAAAACCTCTATGTTCAATATTGTATTTGTAGAAAAACACCGAAAAAAATTCAAACTTTCGAAATTACAGAGTTAACTGAAACTCTGCCATCTTTATTTGTGTATTTCACTCTATTCTTATAAGAAATTTAAAGAGAAAATTTGGAGTCATTTTTGAGAAAACTTCAAAAATGTCCCAGCAGCGTTATGTTAAGTACCCCAAAAAGTTAAAGAATGTTTTTTTTAATCGCAGAGCTTCGAGTCGAGCCAGATTTACCGGCGAATATCCATTTTGGATACAATTCTATGAAAAGTGTAGGCGCTCACACGGACAGACGTTTTGAACAACTACTTATATACGTACATATACGACAAAGTAAAAATAGTTGTTCGCCAAACAATTTCTTTGTATTGTATGGGAATGGGATTTTCGTCCAATGGGATTCTCGTCAACTTGAAGGAAGTATCATTTAAAATTAACTCGCATATTTGCGAAAAATTATTTTTCGTGACATTTGACCTCCCAACATCTTGGAACGCACATGGGATATCACTTCGAACTTTTCACTTCTTTTACGAAACATCAAGACGAAAGTCTAAGCGAAAATTCAGCTCAAGGGGATTTTTGATGCAGACGAACCCTAAGTTGACTGGGCTATAATCTATTACTACCACTATTTTTACTTTCCCGTATACATATGTATACACGGGGTCATATTCGTAATATAGGGAAAGTTTTGTAATGCTGCGGAAACACGATTTCGAGATTTTCACGCAAATACACGTTTGGGGTCCCCTGATACCGCAAAAGTATTTGATTTTTTTTTTCCAAAACGTCTATCTGTCCGTCTATAAACACTACTAGGACCTAAATTATACGTAGGATTTTTCCAAATTGAAGAAACCTCTGTCCATCTGGCTCGAGTCGATGCTTTGAGATTTTGAAAAACATTCTTTAAAATTTGGGGGTACTTCATATGAAGCCCCTGGTGCATTTTCAAAATTTTCTCAAAAACGGCTCCAAATTTTTTCCAATTTCTCGTAAAATATAGTAAATTACGCTTATAAAGGTGGCATAGGTCCTATTTTCACAGTTAACTCAGAATTTTCGATAACTGCAAAGGTTTGAGTTTTTCCGTGTCTTCCTTCATCTACAAAATTGAAGATAGAGGTTTTTCCTTCGTATAAAATTTATTGGCCGTTATTAGTTCTTTCATTAAGGTCATGCACGTTTTTTTAATAATTTTAGTACATTTCGAGCAACATTGCGTGCAATATTTGCAGTTTTAAAAAATGACAAAAACAACTTTTTCTAAAAATTGCTCTCATTTTTTCTTTGATATTTGGTAAATACAGAACTAAATGCACTCTATAAGATGACATAAACGCTATATTGCTCTATTCTTTTCTTTTCTTCCAAAAATACGTAAAAGCAATTTTTTGACTTGTCTCTCACGTCAGTTGCCGCTAATTCAATTTGTTTACATGAATATATTTACGAGTACACGTGCTTTACATAATGCCAGATTAAGTTTCCCGAAAACCCAACAGTTTTCTGTGAAAACTGGCTCCAAATTTCGATTTTGAGAAACGCACAAACGCCATTTTCTCAAAAACGGTTCCAAATTGTTTCTTCAAACTTTTCGAACGATTAGTGCAAATTGCACTCTTTAATAAGACGTAATATTCATCTCTGATTCCGTTGATAAGAACATTTCCAGCCATTTGTAAACACTGTTGTATATACGTTTTAAAGTGCTTCAAATGTTTTCAAATGAAGTTTTTCGAAAACTCAGTAATTTTTTGTGAAGAAAGTGTCAGATTTCGAATTTACAGTAGCGCTTAAACGCCATTTTCTTAAAAATACTTCAAAGAAAATTGCCATTAAGAACGAAGTTTTACTGTTATTTTATATTCTTAAAACAATGTTTTCTTTCGACTATTTGGAAATCGAAAAATTAAAAAAATTTCGTAGGAAATACAGCCTTCGACGCGGCGTCAACCGGACAACCAAGATCATTCACATTAATTTCAGAAGGTCAAGAATCACCTACTATATAAAATCAATCGCACTTATTAAGTGTGCAATTTCATTCTCCTTGTATGATTTATTTGTTTACAAGAAAAACGTTATATGT